ACATAAAAGAGTTTTGGTTATATGCGAGACTTGTTTTGTAGTGAGTACCCTTTGATTCAGGGCAAACACCTGTAGCTCATCACTTCCATCATAAAACGCCTTTGACAAAACATTCCAAATATCGAAGATAGTGGGTAAGGGAAGATACTTTTTCATGATTTCTAGCTTCATGGACATCAGTAGTCATCTTTTCACTTTTTGATTTTTAGCATACCATTTTTCATATCCCTCATCTTTCTCTGTTGGAGGTTTCACCTTCCCACGGATGTAGGACAATTTTTCCCTCTCTGTAATGTGCACCTCCATTAATTGTGACCATACGTCATAATTGGATTCATTTAGGATGATACCTATGTTGAAGACACCTTCAGATTGAACAACCACTAGAATTAGTTTTTCTACCATGTCTCCAGTTAAGATCTCCAAGGATTTAGAAAGAAAAAGAAAAAAATTATAAGCTCTAGTACCAAATTGAAAAACATAAAATTCATTTTATAATTTTATTCATATTATTTTGTACACAGATACTATGATCTTATAGTATTTTACTCCAACAAATCATGACTAAATAAAGGAAGTTTTGATTATACAATATTCTGTACTGCTATACAAACATATAATTTAGCTAATCAAATATCTTTATCCCAACACTCCCCTTCAAGTTGGTAAATAGATGTCATACATTCTCAACTTGTCCAATAATCTCCTAAAAATCTGACTTGTCACAGCTTTGGTAAGAATATCTGCCAGCTGATCTTCAGATCGAATATTTGACAATTCCAGAATATTTTTATCAAGCTTTTTCTTGATGAAAAATCTATCAACCTCCACATGCTTCATCCGATCATGTTGGAGAAGATTATGAGCAATGTCGCGCGCAGCTTTATTATCACAATACAACTAAATGAGACGTGTATGTGTATACCATAAATCATGGAGAATTAGTCTGAGTCACAAACTTTTACAAAGTCCAAAAATCATTCCTCTATGTTCAGTTTCTACACTAGATCTATTCTTATTTTCTTTTAAAATGTAAAGAGGTTTGACTTCTAGGACAAATATTAGCATGCTAATATTTTTTTCTATGAAAAATAGATTCTGAATTTCTAAATTTATTTTCAAAGAATATTATTTTAGAAATATTTTTTATAATTTTTTCCTAAAAATTGTAGACAACGATTTTCTTTTTTAATTCGTCATTATGCCAAAATCAAGATACAAAATCATTTATTAGTTTTCTCATCTTTTTATTTTTCAACGGTTTTAAAAGAATATTTTATCTTAAATAGGAATAACAGGTTTAATTTTTTTTCTTAAATAAAAATAAGATAACAGATCAAATCTATTATAAAATTGATAATTTTAGTTTATTAATCTATTTTAACTTATTTTATGTAGCCCGTTTGATTGATTAAAAGTGAATATTTTAAAAAATTATTTGTATATTAATATTAAAATAATTATAATTAAAACTATATATTTTTTTATTATATTATTGAAATATGTAAATATATTACAATTTAAATTATAAATATTAATTAATTAAATTTAAACTATTACTTATAATTAATATTTTAATATATAAATATTTTAATATTTTAATTTATTTAATAAAAATATTAATTGTTAAATAAATAATTAAAAATTAATTATATAATTAAAAGTGTATTTTAAAATACATATAAAATAATTTTATATAAAAAATTATGAATAAATTAGACCGCAAATTCGTCAACATGTCCCGACTAGTTAGATCTATAACTTATAATAAATGAATTTTTTGTTATAGATGATTTTTTTTTTTCAGATTAGTGAGGGGAAAACTAGTAATGTTAAATGTCATTTTATATTATTAATAAAGCATTAAGTATATACTTGACTATTTATAGAACAGTGAGAAAAAAAATATAAGAGAAGAGAATCTAATGCGCAAGAAATATATTAGAAAATTGGTGACAGTTTTTATAAATATAAAATATAGTTGTTTTTTTTAAAGAAATTATGTATCAAAACATTGAATATTAAATAAAGTGGAACAGACAAAAGAAGCAGTGTTTTCAACATAAACTTTGGCTAAAATAAAACATTGATATCTCTCAATCTATTTTTTAGTTTTACTTTAAATTCGGAAGTTTAAAACTGTGCATACAGTGTTAATTTTGACAGACACAACTCTTATAGTCTTCGCACACATTACCCAATTGAATAAATTGATGCGATAAACTGGTAAAATTAAAAAGAGATATTTTAAGATAATAAAGTGATTTTAAAAAACCAAACCTACCTACCTACCTAGTTAACTTGATCGGTCCTCTCCAACTAAGAGAGGAATATGATGATATTAAAATAATTTATAAATAAATATTATAAAATTAAATTATTAGTCAAATTAACTGTAAATATTTTTTTAGAAATTATTAAATAATTAATAATTAATTAAATAAAATATTTTAAATCATTTAAATTGAAAATCATACCAACAAATATTTTTGTAGCATGAACTACGCGACCACGTTAAACATATATAGTTTATAAAGATTCCAATAGGTGGATTCAACATCAAGAACATTTAGAATTCTTCTTACTTAGACTGGGAGTTTCGATTGAGTTCTTTAATGTGTTCTAAATGTGTTAAAGAAGTGGGATCTTAAACAATATTTTGGGAGTAAAGGAATATATTATGAATAAATAATAAATAAATATATAAAAAATATATATTAAAATTATAAGTATTTAAATATGTATATTTAATGAATTAATAAAATTATAAATATACATTTAACTTATAAAATTTTAAAGGGTAATGATCCCTTTAAAGATGAGAGAGAAACCATTTAAAAAGTTATTCGACTCTTAAATTAAATTATTGAACAAATAAGAAAAAATAATATAAAATGAAAAGATCAATTTTTGTATAAATTAACATTTAAACATAATTATTTTAAAATTATAAATATGTTCCCTCTATTTTATCCAACATACGGTTATTATCTTAGATAATATCAATTATCTTGATCTTAATCTTAATCTGTCGTATTTTTCAATACGAAAAAAAAATTAATTTGTGGATCAGATTTAACGACTTTTAATAAGTTTTAATCATGTCATCTTACTTAAACTCTATTATGTATTGAGACATTCCCCTGTGCACAACGGCATGTTAAGGTTGAAAACTAGATAATACTATGAAGTCACAGTTCCTGCATTCAAATATGGAGTAAACCCTAAACCTAATAAATAGCTTTATTCTCTAAACAATTTTTATCGATTTACAAAATATACACAAAATTTCTTATATCTTTTATCTTACATATGGTACTTATAATTTTTAAACTTTCTATAAGTTTTATTTTATTTTATAAATTTAACACTAAATCTTCTTGATCACAATGAAAATTTAAAATGATTAAACACTCAAATTGCATTAATTTTAAAATAACATTAATAAGCAATATTCCATATAACAAAAAGAAGTACAGCATATATATATAATCAACCAAACAAATGACTGTAACTTTCAAAAAAGATGACATAAAATTAATTTATTATATAATAAAATATATTAAATAATAAGTTTAGTTCTGCTCTTCTACCCTTAAATATATTAAATTTTTCACAAGTTTATGTATATCTAAAATACATTTATCAGTTGTCTACTTACATTGTAGATTAATTGCACTTTGATCGACATAACTATTTTTGTAATTTTACAAATCTATTTTTTTATTTAATTTTATTTTTTAATTTAAAAAAAATAGTTTTAGAGATTAATTTTAAAAATTATTCTTAAAAATAAGTTTAAAAAAATCTTGTTTAATAATTATATTTTTGAAAATGATTTTAAATGAAATATACAGGTGATTATAAAAATGTCGTAATAAAGTTTGAAAAATAATTAATTTTATAATATAAAAATAATAAAATGTAATATAATTATTGAATAAAACATTGATACCTATTAATATATATATATATATATATATATATATATATATTATCAATTTCATTATTTTTATTTTTAAAAACTAGAAAATAAAAATAATTTTCAAAAATCATCCTTCTTTTCAACAGGATTTAATATTTCATAAATATTTTTATAAAAAGTTAGTTACATGTTACATCAATCTAATGTAAACTATCTAAATGTATTTAGATATTATATTTTGTTAAATTCATTAAAGATTAAAAAGTGAACTTTCTAAATAAATGTTAAATTAAAATATAAATAAAAACGAGATTTAATTGAAATAAAATTATAAAACTTATGGTAACAAAGATAGTTGACTATTTTTAAAATGATAATAAACAGGGTCCATAAACCCTTCCGATGGCCCATTTAATAAATTTCCCATATTTATTCTAAACAAAGTGGTTATAAGCTTCCTTAGGATTGTGTTTTGTAAGTCAGTTCATATATAACCAAAAAAAATAAAATTGTACAAGAGTTTAAAGAGGAGAGACAAATCTTGACTAACATTTAGTTAATACCTTTTGATGTAATTATTGTAAAAATAAGTGATTTTGTAATTGAACAAATAACAATATAAAATATTATTATTATTATTACTTATACTTTCAATACATGAGTTGTTTACTCTTTTTAATATTTTTAGCTTTTAAAAAAATGAATGATTTTATTCTCACAATTACAAATTTTGCTAGAATTGTTTTAAATAGAAAACATTTTTTAATACAACGTATAGCCAAAAGTTAAGTGAACCCAATAAATACCATTTACTTCTTACATGAAAAATAGTTTGTTTGTTTTTTTAAAGAAACTTATTTAATTATAACACAATTGAAATATCAGAAATCACATTTTTTGAAATATGAAAAATAATTAAATAATGCCAGTGTTTTATAAGAAAGATGCCCTAACATTCCTATATATATGAGGCAACGTGAGTGGAGATTTGACAAGAAAGAAGAGATTCTAAAACATGGCAATTGGCACTTTCTTCACCGCTGTGTCCTTACCCTCCATACTTCTCTCCCTTTTCATGCTAAGAGCTTCCTCTTCCGACCTCGGTGTAAGTCAAACCCAAACTCTAATATCTGACCAAGATCAACTGGAACTTGCACTGAATTTTGAATATTTGAGCGCTGAGTTCTTCTCCTATGGTGCTAATGGTCGTGGACTTGATGCCACTGCTCCACAATTAACCAAGGGAGGTCCTCCTCCCATTGGAGGCCGAAAGGCCAACCTAGACCCCTTATTACAGGACATCTTCTCACAATTCGCTTTAATAAATATTGCGCATTTGGGGTATAATTTCCAAGTTTCTGCAACTATAGAGTCTTCTCGGGGGGAAAACTGCACGTGTTTTGTTTATTAACTGTTCTAAAGGGTTGTATGCATGTATATTTTACAGGGCCATAAATGGTGCAGTTAAAGGATTCCCTGAACCATTACTGAACATAAGCAAGGAGGTGTTTGGTGAAATTGTGGAGTTAAAGGATTTCGACGTCTATGCCAATGGCCTCAATTACTTACTCGGGGCTTATATATCATTACTACTCTTGCCCCAAATGCTTATGTTGGAATGGCTCCACAGTTGCAGAACTCTAAATACAAGAGTGTAAGAGTTCAAAATCTCCTAGTTTTTTTTGAACTTCTTAGGATTTTTGGTTAACTTGATTTTGAAAGCACATGTCTAAGTGTAATCTATTATTATGATATCTTCAATATGTGTCTTTGACATAAGTTAACATAATCAGTCTTTTTATATTCAAGTGGAGGAGCAATTTTAGGATGATAATTAAAAATATACGTATAACAACAAAAACTGTCCAATATATACGTTACAAATAGAAATACATATTTTGTGTTTGGAATCCCAAATTGACAAGTTGAATGATGAATGACCAAATTTAATATGCATGCATAGCTTGTTGCTGGGCTTCTGGGAGTAGATTCTGGTCCGGATGCAGTTATCAGAGCATATTTATATGAACGTCGAGACGCACCGATACCGCCATATAGTGTGAAAGTGTCAGATCTCACAGGTCGCATTTCGGACTTTGCAAATAGGTTAGGTAAAGAAGGAATCAAAAGTGAGGGTCTTGTAGTTCCTCAATCTGAGGGTGCTGAGGGAAAAACAACAGGTAATGTTATTGCTGGTGACAAAGACTCACTAGCATTTGGAAGAACGGCAAGTGGAATACTTAAGATAGTGTATGGAACGGGTGATGAACATGTCCCAGGCGCCTTCTTCCCTAATGGAGCAAATGGTCGCATAGCAAGATCTTTCTTACCATAGATTATAGATACATACATACAATCATACATCATTTCCTCTTTAACCTACTACCACCCACCTATTCTGCCTAACCAGTCATACTTACTGGTGGCATCTAATAATAAGCACTATGTTGCATTCAAATAAACTCATTATAAATTTGCCATGTTCGTGCTACATTAGATATTTCCATATTTTTGAGTTGATTTTGTCGTGAAGGATCTTGCTTGGGTAACTAATAAGTACTGAGATGAACAAAAAATAAAGGAAATTTTGTCGACTACTATTGTACTACGAAAATCAGTAGTTATATATTCAAACACATTAATAATTATTATGTGTGTGCACCTAACACATAATCTTCAAGATTAACCCAGAAATACATTTTAGGAGGGTCGAAAATCTAGATCCTTTCACTAAACATGAGTTCTTCTTCGGGTGTGTGCTTGATGCTGACAAGGTTTCTTTTATCAAACTGGTTAAAACCATAAATATTATATGTAAATGGGTCCATTAAAAAAAATTAAGTAATAGATAAGTCATTGCACGAATGGATTAAAACAATCATCTAATATAAGACGATTTTAAAGTAACAATACAAAAATCGTACTATGTAAATCGATGGAAGTACAGAACTTTTTTTTAATATAAATTGGTGTAAGGTGGCACAATTTTAACTTTGAAATCGTACTGATATAATATTGATGTAGAAGTTGTATCACCTGACCTCAGACTGTGTAGTTTTTTTTATATAATTAAAATTGCTTAATATAATATAATTTTAATTATGTAGAAATATAATTAAAATGGTATTATATAACATAATTTTAGTTTTTTAATTTATAGTTGAATTAATTTTTAAATAAATATATTATTTAAAAAATTTATAAGTTAATTATTTTTTGTTATATATTTTTTATAAGTTATAAAATATTATATTAATTATTTATTTTATTTATAATAATTATTTTTTATAATTTAAATTTATAATAATATTATAACATATAGAAACATAATTTTTAAAATTATAATTACCTCAAAAAGAAATTTATCTGAATAATTTTTAAATTTCTAGTAATATTATTATTTCTATATATATATATATATATATTATTTACACAAGTTTTATATAAAACATAATTAATATAAATAAAATAAATAATTGATATAATATTTTATAACTTGTAATATATATATATATATATATATATATAACAGAAAATAAATAAATTATTAAACATTTGAATAATATATTTATTTTAAAAAATAATTCAGTGATAAATTAAAAAAATGGTCATAAATTGTGCTACGTATAAAAAAAATATAACCTAAAATAGTTTTAGATGATACAATTTCTACCTTAATATTTTTTTTGTATTATGATTTCAACACAAGTTGTATCATCCTATAGGAATATAAAAAATAAAAAATGTTACATGTTATTCTGTGGCGAAGCAAAGGTTAAGTGAGCCAAATCAATGTTTGGACTTTTTAAATAAAAAAGTTACACTTTAATTAATGACTATAATTTTTGGTATAATGATAAAAGCTCAACCCTAACAAAAAAAATACATTAAAATTGTGGTAGGTAATACAATGTTTATGTTACTGTAGAATGGTTTCATGATACACCAGTTTTTTCATCTAAAATCACGAAACTTAACCTGACTTCTCATCGCTATGTAATAATTTTAAACTTAACCCATTCACATAAAATTTTAATATTTTTAATCCAATTTAATAAAAAAAGCACAAAAATCTTTAAATACTAAGTACAATGTGTGTTTTATATGCTATGCAAATTGAATATATTTTGATATTTATTAAGATAAGAATGAAAGAGAGTAAAAAAATCTTACAACTATTTTATTAAAATTAAATATTTTTATTATATTTTGTTTTTATGCATAAATAAATCATATAGTATAAATAAAAAGAAATGAAAAGTATAAATGAGTTTTAAACTCAAACAAGAGTTAAAGCTTTAAAATTAATGTTTTTACATGTTAGTCTTTTTATTAAAAATTATAAAATATCTAATTTAATTTTATAAAATCAATTTAGTTATATTCATTTATATATAATTTTTAGTTAACATGAGATGTCATGATAAATTAATATATAAATGACGGAAAATAAAAAATAATATTACTATTTTAAAAATCGAGTCAACCTATTATTCTACTAATTCGATAATTGATTATTTATAAATAATTTAAATTTTAATTAAAACAATATAAAATCGAAAAATCAATAGAAAAAATGAAATCAACTTGGTAAAAAAACGTTTTAAAGATCAAAATTTGAAAAGAAATTAAATTAAATTTTTATAAAAAATATAATATTTTTCTTTTTATCTTACACTAATTATGCCAATTTTAATATAATAATTATTTTATTATATTTAATCTTATTTTAATTATTATCTATTTTTTATTTTATTTTATATTTGTAATTGTTATTATAATTTACTGTGATCTTAATAATAATTTTTTTAAATTACTATTATTATTATCTGATTAATCTTTTAAATCTTAATCTCATGTTTTCATGTTTATTAATCAATCGAGTCTTAAAAACATTCAAGGAGAACTTGTATATAATAAAATATTAAATAAACTATAAATTAAATATCCAAATTAAAAAAACAAAATAAACAATATATTAAAAATTTAAAGTAAAGTTAAAGTAAAAAAAATGTTTTATAAGAAACTTAAAAGAGTCTTATTTTATTTTAAATAAATCCTAAACATGTTCATATCTCAAGTGAAAAACATGTAAAATTATAAACATTTAAAATGAAAAGAGATATTTTAAGATATTCAAGTGAATTTTTTTTTTAAATGACAGATGAAATTAAAGCCAAAAATTAAAGTGAAGGAGAAAATTTTGTATTTTATCCCAGAAGCTCTTAAAAACCAAACCTACCTAGCTAATTAACTTACCAAACCCCTATATAAAAAATAATAATGGTTCATCGGATTGATCCTTGTCATATTAGTAATTGAAAATCAAGCCTAAAGACTAGAGTTTTTTTTTTAATATATAATTACAGTCATAAGAGACATCCTGAAAAATTATCAAAAACTATCATAACTTTATTTACAACTTTTATTTCTATATATTTGTTTTATTTTTTGTTTTTTTTAATGTATTTTGCAATTATTTTTTAAATTTTTAATTAAAATCGTAAAAAGGCATATATTTTTTTATTATATTTGAAACAATAATTGGTTTATTTATGCTCTTCTGCACTTAAATATATTAAATCCTTCTAAATCTTTCACAGTCACTAATTTATTTCACAAGATTGTGTATAGAGTGCATTTATCAATTGCCTAATCACTTTGTTGGTTTAACTGCACTTTGATCAACATAATGTAACATTTTTGTTATTTTACAAATCCCTTTCTTACATTAAAAAACTCTTCTTAATTTTAATTGTTCACAATTAGTTTGTACATTTCCTAATAGTTAAAATTTAGTCTCTTATTCCAATTTTCATACACAAAATCACGTAAAAGTTTGACCTGACATTAATTTTTTTTTATTTAAATATTTTACATGTTTTTTTCCTTTACCAATTTATAAATTTATAAAACATTTCAAATTTTTAAAGAAAGCAAACCAATTTTAGTTTCTTTTTCAGATTTTCTGTTATTTCTATCTCTTTTTTTTATAAAATTTAAAAATTATATAATTAAGATGTATACATAATATAAAAAAATTTCTTCCTTTCCAACAGGGTTTCCTTAGGATTGTGCTTTTTCAAACTAGCTGACCTCAACCTTATAATTATAAGATAGGGTTATGAAAATTTGTAAGTTAGTCAATATAAAAATGATTTCTTATATAAAAACGATTTTTTTTTTTGAAAAAAATGTTTTATTTTTATATATCATGATCAAATTTTGATTAAAACCATATATTTTTTTAAACTTTTTTTATTAGAAAAAATTGAATATAAATTACTTAATAAAATCATATAATACTTTAAAGCTGACAATATGAAAAATAATTCATTTGAGTGGTTTATATGAAAGATGCCCTTTAACCATCTTATATATATGTGCTAACATGAGTAAAGAATTCACAACAAAAAAGAGATCTTAAAACATGGCACTTCGCACTGTCTCCACTGCTGTGTTCCTGACCTCCATAGTCCTCGCCCTTTACATGCAAAGAGCTTCCTCTTCCGAGGTCAATGTAAGCCAAACCCAACCTCCAATTTCTGATCAGTATCTTCTGGAATTTGTACTGAATTTAGAATATTTAAGCGCTGAGTTCTTCTCCTGTGGTGCTAATGGTCGTGGACTTGATGCCACTGCTCCACAATTAACCAAGGGAGGTCCTCCTCCCGTTGGAGGCCGAAAGGCCAACCTAAACCCCTTCTTTCAGGACATCTTCTCCCAATTTACTTTAATAAAAATTGGACATTTGAGGTATTTCCAAGTTTCTGCAGCTATAGTTTCTTCTAGGGAAGAAAAATTGTACGTGTTTTGTTTATTAACTTTTCTAACAGGTTGCGTGCATTGCGAATCTTCTTGGTAGCTAAGGGGTGATGGTCCCGAAAGTTTTGTAACTCCCATGTAATTTATGATTTTAGTCCTGTAAACATAATGAACATTTAATATATTTACTTATATATTTACAATTTTATCCTCTTAACCCCTTCTCAGTTTTTTAACTCTCATATAATTTATGATTTTGTTCCCCTCAAACTTAATGATCATTTAATATATTTAAGTATATATCTAAAATTTTATCTTTTCACATTTTCATCTTATTTCTTCTTTTTATATTTATTTATTATTTATTAATAATATATTATTTAACCCTCCCAAAATGAACGGTGAAGATCCGCCGCTGAGTGCATGCATATTTTACAGGGCCATAAATGGTGTAGTTAAAGGATTCCCTATTCCATTACTAAACATAAGCAAGGAGTTATTCGGCAAAATTGTGGATGATGCACTTGGACAAACTTTACGCCCATCTTTCGACCCCTATGCAAATTCACTCAATTACTTACTCGGGGCTTATATCATTTCTGATTTAGCTCCCCCTGGTTATGTTGGAATCACACCACAGTTGCAAAATGTCACCACTAGTGCAGAAAAGGGTTTTTACGTCACTCAATTGTCGTCGCATATAAAAATATTCGACGTAAATAAAACGCGGTGGCAATTTTGTAAATAAGGGACAAAACTTTTACGTCGCACACCCCAGCACGCGACGTAAAAGGCCTCCTTTTACGTCGCGCCACCCAGGTGCGACGTAAAAGAGGGCTTTCTACGTCGCGTGCTGGGATGTGCGACGTAAAAAGTCTCTTTTATTCCCTCCCTGCCACACTCCCTCGTCTCGCACAACCAGGGTTTTTGAGAACGACGACAACAGCTACCTCTGCACACCATTTTCGATCAGTTTTACAGTGAAAAACATCTACATTGTGTGTCATTTGACGAACTTGATATTTCTCCCCGATTGGATTCGAGTTTGAAATCATTTTTCGTCTACACTCGAGGTTAGTGTTCTATGTCATTGCTATATGTTTACATTGAATCCGTGATTGTTTTTGGGGATCTCAATCACGTTATAGTATGAATGTCTCCACTGGATTGTTATTGGAATGTAATTATTTGTTTATTTGTTTGAGTGCATTCGGTTTACACACTCCATTGTTGTTGGAACGTGCTTTGTTGTTTGTATATTAATTTCTTTTTACATATAATTTTTAAATCTCTAGGAGTGACGAAACTTTATAACATAATATGAATCGAAGTTGGATGAATGCACGTCGTATTAGTGAAGAGTACGAAAAGGGAGTTGAGGAATTTTTGAAATTTGCTAGTGAAAATGGAAAAGCTATGAAAGGGACATATTATTGTCCATGTGTTCGTTGTTTGAATCAAATTCGTCATAAACTTGAGGATATACGTGATCACTTGTTTGTTTATGGTATTATTAAGAGTTATACAATATGGACATGACATGGAGAAATATTAGACATCCCAACTGTGTCAACTACAGACAATTTTGATGAAGGGATGGATGATAATCTAGAGAATATGATACGTGATATTGGTGAAGAAAATTTTATGAAAGCACATCTATATGATTCTTTGAAATCTGATTTTGCGCAACAATTGTACATAGGATGTAGTTTTACAAGATTATCAGCAACTTTAAAATTGTTTACTTTAAAAGCAAGAAATGGATGGACTGATAAAAGTTTCACCGAATTATTGGAGTTGTTGAAGGAGATGCTTCCTGAAGATAATACATTACCTATTCGTAACTATGAGACAAAGAAGATATTATGTCCAATGGGTTTAGAGTACAAGAAAATACATGCATGTCCTAATGATTGTATATTGTACAGAAATGATTTTGCTAAATTAAAGATGTGTCCGACATGTGGTTTGTCGAGGTTCAAAAACAAAGTTGAGGAAAGTAGTGGTGAGGAAGAACTAGATGATCCCCCTGCTAAGGTGTTATGGTATTTGCCAATTATACCTAGGTTTAAAAGATTATTTGCCATAAAAGAAGATGCAAGAAACTTGACATGGCATGCAAATGGTAGAAAATGTGACAATCTTCTTCGACATCCAGCTGATTCTCCACAATGGAAAAGGATTGATGAAGCCTTTCCAGAATTTGGTGCAGAGCCAAGAAACTTGAGAATTGGATTAGCTACAAATGGGATGAATCCTTATGGAAATTTAAGTAGTAAACATAGTTCATGGCCAGTTATGTTGATCATTTACAATTTGCCTCCTTGGTTATGCATGAAGAGAAAATATATGATGTTATCTATGATGATTTCAGGACCTCGACAACCAGGAAATGACATAGATGTATATCTTAGTCCTTTAATTGATGATTTGAAGATGTTGTGGGAAACAGGAGTGGATGTATTTGATTCATATCACGAAGTGAATTTCAGGTTGCGTGCAATGTTATTTTGTACTATAAATAATTTTCCAGCATATGGTAATTTGAGCGGTTATAGTGTGAAAGGTCATTTAGCGTGTCCTTTATGTCAAGAAGACACAAGTTATATCCAATTGAAACATGGACAAAAAACTGCGTACAATATGCATAGAAAGTTTCTAGTTGCTAATCATCCATATCGTAAAATGAAGAAAGCATTTAATGGATGTCAGGAGAATGCAATTGCATCGAGTACCACGCAATGGTGAACAAGTATATGAGCAAGTGAAAAATATTAATATTGTGTTTGGAAAGACCCAAAAGAAATCCAATGAGAAAAACATTTGGAAGAAACAGTCTATATTCTTCAATCTTCCTTATTGGTGTAAGTTGGAAGTTAGACACTCGTATAGATGCGATGCATGTTGAAAAAAATGTTTGTGATAGTATAATTGGGACATTGCTTAACATAAAAGGAAAGACAAAAGATGGAATAAAAGCAAGACAAGATTTGGCGGACATGGGTATACGTTCGAATTGCATCCACAATCGATTGGAAAACGCACTTACTTACCTCCAGCTTGTCATACTCTATCGAAGAAAGAAAAGAGAAGCTTTTGTGAGTGTTTACATGAGGTCAAAGTGCCACAAGGATACTCCTCAAATGTTAAGAGTCTTGTGTCTATGCAAGAGTTGAAATTAGTTGGTTTAAAGTCTCATGATTGTCATGTGTTGATGCAACAACTTTTACCAGTGGCGATTCGAAACATCTTACCAACTTCTGTTAGAATTGTTATTACTCGGTTATGTTTGTTTTTCAACGCCATTTGTAAAAAGGTAATTGATCCAAAAAAGTTACATGAATTAGAAAATGAAGCAATTGTAATAGTGTGCCAGTTAGAAATGTATTTTCCCCCTTCATTTTTTGATATCATGGTGCATTTGATAGTCCATTTGGTAAGGGAAATTCGATTATGTGGTCCAATTTTTCTTAGATGGATGTATCCTGTTGAGAGATACATGAAGATCTTAAAAGGATATGTGAAGAATCAGTACAGACCAGAAGCTTCTATTGTGGAAAGGTACATTGCAGAAGAAGCCATTGAGTTTTGTTTAAGATACATGTCAAAATCAGAACCAATAGGTATTCCTAAGATGAGACATGATGGAAGATGTGAAGGTAAGGGTACTCGAAATTTAAAGATTAAAAATGTTAGTCGGAAAGAAGTTGACCAAGCACATTTATACATATTGAACAACACTGATGAAGAAATTCCAATGTTAGAGTGTTTGGAATTGACAATATGGGATGTTAGAGTGTTTGGAATTGACAATTCCAGTGTTCCATTATACATTTCCTTGCCCGATGCTTTAGAAATTGCTGGGGGAAATTGCATGTTAAACATTTCCATCATACAATTGTGGGCAATGTAAGTCATTCTCATTTATGTTTCTAAGATTATAATAATTATATTCAACTTATAATTAATTGTTTTAGGTACATTGACAAGTTGAGTGTGAAACAAGAAAAATCCGAAGTATACGGATTCATTGAGCCTCAATCCATCCAAAAATCTGGAAATACAAAGGTTGGAATCCAACAATATATGCAAATATGGATGAGTGACTCAAAAAGACATATATATTTGGCTCCATACATTGAAGGGTTAGTATTTTAATTTGTATTTTAATTTATATTTTTGTAACTAATTTTTATGTCATACAATGTAGGTCCCATTGGCAGTTAATTGTAATCATGCCCCGGGATTACACTCGTGGTGTGATTTTGTTCATTACATCGGAAACCGAGTCAAGAAATGAAAAGCTTATTACAAGGGTAACTTTATCTTTTATTCATTAATTATGTTTTTAAATTGTGAATACATATTGAATAATATATGACTTTTTTTTACTTAGAATCGTAGTCTCGGAACTAATGTTCTAAGTGGAAAACCTAGAACAAAGACTTTGCAGTTCATTTATCCTAAGGTTAGAAACTTATTTATATAAGTGAATACCATAATTATTGTTTGTATTTAAATTTTGAAAATAATATTATGTTTTTTTCATCATTTCGAGTGTAATAAGCAAACGAGACTCGTTTGAATGTGGTTACTATGTAATGTATTGGATGAGAGTCATAGTTTGTGCGGGTTTAATTGATTCTTGGACGGAGGTAATTACTTTTAACATTAGTTTAAGTTTATTTAACTTTATTCATGTTGCATGTTTACAAGAGTCAAATTCATGTTTCAGGTATTTCAAGATCCATCTCCATTACCAGAATCTGATATTACACAAATTAGAGAACAATGGGCAAAATTTTTTGTTCAACAATTCTAGTACATAATTTTTTAAGTTCTTGTTCATATTATATTGTGTGTATTATGTAGTTTAGGTAGCTTAATTTGTATTAACTTTTAGTTTGTAATAAATTTTTTAGTTTGTATGTTTGTATTATATTGATTTATTATGTAGTTTGAATTATATAATATTATATTTTTAATTTACTAGCTAAAAAAAACTGAACCTCTGGACTGTCTGGTTGTAATATTTACAGGTTTTAGTTGTAAAACAGAATAAATAAACCCAATTTAAAAAAAAAATAGCAAATTTACGTCACATATGGCATATGCGACGTAAATTTACGTCGTGCATTGGTATATGCGACGTAAATTTACGTCGCATATACCATATGCGACGTAAATTTGCTGTTTTTTTTTTAAATTTTCGAAAGCTTTTACGTCTGTTTAGTGGTATATGTCACGCAAAATTACGTCGGGTCTTGATAATTGACGTAAATCTACGTCGGGCTAAAGGGTCTGACGTAAATTTACGTCTCCCGTTTTAACGTCAGACTTAAATACGACGTAAAAAGCCCTAAATACCTGACGTAAAAGCCGTTTTTTGCACTAGTGCACCTACAAGAGTGTAAGGGTTCAAATTCTCTTCATTTTGTTGAACTTTTTAGGATTTTGGTTAACTTGTTTTTAAAGAGCCTATGTGTAATCTTTTTTTATGATATGATAAGGATCAGAGCTTATTATTTTAGTTAAACTTCCCTATATTTAAAAAAAATATTGAAATTCAAAAACATGACATATACTTTTATTTTAATATTTTTTAAACTCACTATATTATTTGTCTGTGACATATGTTAACGAAATCAATCTTTTTATTATATTCAAGTGGAGGAGCACTTTTAGGACAGTGAAAAGTATACATATAACATGAAAAAATGTTCAATATGTTTGGCTCAAAATAGATTATAAGTAATACGAGAGATAAAGAAATCTAAACAGATAAAAATTATAACAGATAGCTAATTGATCAGGTGACAGTAGTAAATCGTGTGAACAATATTATTGCTGATACACCTAAAGTTACATATAGTTAAGATGAGATTAACCATTTTTTGTTTCCAAATCCAAATTCACATGTTGAAACATGAATGACCAAATTTACTATGCATGCACATCTCGTTGCTAGTCTTCTGGGAGTAGATTTTGGTCAGGTTGCAGTTATTCGAGCATATTTATACGAACGTCGAAACTATCCGGTACAGCCATATGGAGTGAACGTTTCAGAGCTCACAGATCGCATTTCGGAGCTTGCAAATAGGTTAGGAAAAGAAGGAACCAAAAGTGAGGGCATTGTAGTTCCTCTATCGCAAGGTGCTGAGGGGAGAATAGAAGGTAATGTGATTGGTGCTGACAACGATTCACTAGCATATGGAAAAATGCCTGGGGAATTACTGAGGATAGTATATGGAACGAGTGATGAACATGTCCCAGGTGACTTCTACCCTAAGGGAGCAAATGGTCGTATAGCTAGGTCGTTCTTAAGCAGAGGAACATAGATATGTACATGTATACTTCATTTGCTCTGTAACCTACCACTAAGTATTCTGCCTAACCAGTCATAGTCATTGGTGGCATTTAATAATAAGCACTATGTTGCATATTTTTGCGTTGATTTTCTGAAACGAACAAAAATAAAGGAATTATTCTCGACTGCTATTATACTACGAAAATCAGTAGTTATATATTCAAACTCATTAATAATTATTATCCGCACGTAACTTATAATAATTCTTCACGTAGCTTGTGAAACAATACTCCATTTAGAGAAGCAGAACCATAAATCGGGCACTAATCTTAAACATTGATCCAGAAATATATTTGAGGGAGGTTTGGGAATTGGAGAACACTTTGAAGCTGCGGATCAATATCAAGTTCTAGAATTTCTGCTCGTGAATTTTGAGCTGTAGGAAGGGGTGTGACTCCATTAAGTAAATATATTACTTGTGTTGTACCCTAAAATTTAGGTTTGAGTTCAGTTCTGTTTAGGGCAGTGAGAGAACTGCAATCCTGCACAGGAAAAAACACAAAAGTAAAGAATGAGCTGATGTAGTTGACAAAGATTCAGTTGCATATGCAAAGAAGTCATCGAATATACTGAGAATAGGATATGGATGGGGTGAAGATCGTGTCCAAGGTGGTTTCTACTTCAAGGGTGCAAACTGAATGTCTTCAAAGTATTTAAGCATTCAACAATAATTTTCCCTGGGTTGCATTAAAGATTTGCTCATGGCTTACTTAGTTTAGGCACCAACTTGGGCTTAACGCGTTAGGCAAAATTTTGATCAAAACCAAAATCGCATGTTGATATTAGATTAAAAACTGATATATGTTCGAAATGCTGAAAGCAAATTTTCTTATTAGATTTTAAAACATTTTTTGTTTTTGTTCATTGAAAACATAAATGAAGACAACATTAATTATTATGTCATTAATTATATATTTTTATATTTAATGTAATTCACCCTAATGTATTATTATATTTTTTTGTTTGTACGTATAAATAAATCATACAAGTTGTAGATAAAAAGGAAAAGTAACTAAAGAGGAGTTGAAAAACCAAACAAAAGTTACACTTACTTAAAATTAATGTCTTCATTGTGTGTATTATGGCATACGCATTTTTTCTTTAATAGTCTGTTGTTAAAGTTACCAATAATAACAAGACACCAACTAACTTCGATGTATATGTATGTTTTTTATAAATATTAAATGAGAAAATATTTTTTATTATTTTTTCATTTTGTTTGCATTGTATATTCTTTTAATTATATGTTATTTGGTGTCCAAAAAATATTGGTTAAGTACCTAAACATGAATTAGGACACATTATTTTTATAAAATTATAAATCTAACGTAGTTAGTTAATCCAATGAGCCATACCTAAACAACTATCACACCATGAATTAAAATAGGACAAGTCACATGAGTACGTTTTTCGGCGAGTTAGGCCTTCAAGCATGTTGGATCACTATCAAAATTTGAGTGTAATATGTCAATTAGATTGAAGTATTGTTGTAATTACAAACATACTAGTGTTTTTGTAACGTATATAAGACTTATATTTATTTTTAATATAATATCATAATCTATTATTATCAAATCACTTATACTCTTATATTTTACATATTTAATAAAAACTATATTAAGTGTCATAATCAATTATATGATATTATATAAATAAATTATAATCATTGATTGGAGTGTTTCCTCCTGATTCTTTGTCTCGATCTTGTCCACGAATATCTATGCCAATATCTTATTTCTCATCTATTTAAGTTCGGAGCCTAAAATTAGGTTGTAACTTCAAACCAAATATATTGTATGGTTCAAATTTAAGTAGATAATTTGATAAGTTATTTTATATATTAATAAATAATTGAAAATTTTAATATAAAATTATCTCTAATTGGATAATGTAAATATTTATGTCATTGATTATAATTGTGATTGTATATATATAATATATGACAACAATTTTTTTAATTATTCTTATATATATGATTGTGATCATTAAAAAAGGTATTAAAAAGTTAAATATATGGTTATAATTTCTTTTATAATAACTATCGTGACGATTGTATATACCAATAATGATGATATGATAATCATAAATGAATTATTATTAAAGTGATACTTGAACGTTGAATAAATACAATGTGTATTATAATGGAAAGATAATAAGAATTTGAGATATAATTTTTTTATAGTAAAAAGTTAAAATCGTTGGTAAAAAATTAGTAAAATGTTTTTAAAACAATGGCATTTATTAGTGAAAAAGAAAAAACATGTAACAATATGAGATTAAAGAGAGAATAATATTTATCAATAAAAAAAATTTATAAAAAAATGCAAGAATTAATAAAAATACAATAAATCATCTATTCATGTAACTTAAAATGATAAAAAAATCCTATTACAATAAGATAAACGAAACTATTTATTGCAATGTATAAATAATAGAAATAAGATGATAAATTATTAAAATTTTGTATCAAAGCCTTGAATATTAAATAAAGGGAGGGAACAGAAGAAGCAATGATTTAGGGTTAAAATAAAATTTTGATATATAACTCATTTTAACTTTTAGTTTTCCTTTGATTTCCTAGGTTTAAAAAAAGTGTTATTTAGTCTTTAAAAGGATTCCTGTAAGCCAAATATTTCCTCGTCATATTATATATATATATATATATATATATATATATATATATATATATATATATATATATATACTACGTTAATTTTGACAGACACAATTGTTATAGTCTATCTCACATTATTAAATTGTTTAAATTAATGTGATTAAGTCGTAAATGAAAATAAATATTTAAAAAAAATAAAAGAAGAAATTAAAACGAAGAATTAAAGTGAAGTATAACATTCTATTTGATTCCAACAGCTTTTAAAAATGAAACCTACTGAACTAGTTAACTTGCCAAACCCTTATTTGTAATAAATGATAATGGTTAATTGCATTGGTCCCTCTCAAAACAAGACATAAATATAATAATAATAATAATAATAATAGGGTTAACAAAGATTCTGTGGCATGACACCACGTTACACAATTTTTTATGGTTATATAAATTACATTATTTTCAAATATAATTTTCTTCGTAAAGTTACGTATACATACCGTACATTTATCATTTGTCTAATTACCATATGTTTGTCTAATTGTACTTTCATCATCATAATTTTACTTGTTCCAATTTTTACAAATCCCTTTCTTACATTAAAAAACTCTTCCCAATTCTCATTCTTCATGATTAGTTTCCACATTCTTGATAATTTAAATTGAGTCTTATTTCAATTTTCATCCACAAAATCATGCAATAAAAGTTTGACGTACGTGACATTAATTTTATATCTATTTAAACCATTTTACATAATTTCCTTTACCAATTTATAAAATTCGAGTTTCAACTTTTTAAAGAAACCAAACCAATTTGAGTTTCTTTCTGCTCCTTCTATCTTATTTTTCATTTTTTTTAAATTGAAAGATGTATATAATATAAAAAAATATATATGTATCCTTCTAATTTCAACGGGTTTCATAAATATTTTTATAAAATGTTGGTTACATGTATACATCAATCAAATAATTTGATTGAATCAACTTTAATTCGTTTTGATTGGTTTTGAGATAGGATTAGTTAAAAGATCTTGATAAATATAGTTCATTCATTAAGCTAACTAAATGTAGTCAATATATTGGATATTATATTAAAATCACTAAAGATTATAATGATTTTTTAATAAATTTCAAATTAAAAAATAAACTCAAGATTTGATTGTAATAAATTATGAAAACAAGATGGTTGGCTTTTTTACAATTATAATAAAAAATGTCCATAAACCCTAGTCATGACAATTTCTTAAGCTTCTTCGGATTGTTTTTGTAAAACTAGATATTACTTCAACCTTCTAAACTATATAAGTTATATAATAATAAAAAATATTATTAAATATTGTACATACAGTTTATATATATTGTATAACCACTTTTTTTCTTAAATTTCCCTTCTAACTTCAGGAAAAAAAACTTAAAGTATCTTTTTATACAGAGATTAACTTTTATGCATGGTCAACGATAAGATTTTTATTTTGTACATCGATAAATAAAAAAAATGGGGTATACCTTTTTTATGTAATTATTGTAAAAATAAGTGATTTTATTATTCATAATCACTTTTAATTGAACTAATGATATTACTATTATATATTATCCTTTAAACTTTCAATACATTATAACTATTTATTCTTTCTTTTTATAAAAATCAATAATTTTATTATCACAATTACAAATATTGCTAGAATTTTCTTTAAATATAAAAACCATCATTATTACAATCGTAGCCTAAATAATGTTGAATAAATCCAGGAAAATTTTATGTTAATATCATTTCTTTTTCTTATTAAACAGGGATAATTTAAAAGAGGAAACCACTTAGTACAAAAAGAGTTATAAACGGTAAAATATTATATTATATATCAAAATAAATAATAAGGATTAAAAATAAATCTTTTAGCTTTTGTTTTTAGAACGAGTAAATTGTTTTTAAACATTTGATTTTATAACTATAAATTATTATATATATATATATCAAAAGATATAGAAACAAAAATAATTGTTAAGTACGGCTCTCCATCGTTCTTGTTAAAAAAAAATTCATTAAAATCAATTTATATGTCACCTTAAGTCTTTTTTAACTTCCTTCTATTATAACCAAATTGAATATAAATTATTTAAGAATCATATAATATATTACAGTTCATAAATAATTTTTTAAAAATATGAAAAATAATTCGTTTAAGTGGTTATATGAAAGATGCCTTATAACGTTCCTATATATAGGTGCTAAGGTAAGTAAAGAGTTCACAACAAAAAAGAGATCCTAAATCATGGCACTTCGAACTCTCTCCACTGCTGTGTTCCTGACCTCCGTAGTTCTCTCCGTTTACATGCAAAGAGCTTCCTCTTCCGAGGTCAATGTAACCAAAGCCCAACCTCCAATATCTGACCAAGATCTTCTGGAATTTGTACTGAATTTAGAATATTTGAGCGCTGAGTACTTCTTGTATGGTGCTAATGGTCGTGGACTTAATGCCACTGCTCCACAATTAACCAAGGGAGGTCCTCCTCCCATTGGAGGCCGAAAGGCCAACCTAGACCCCTTCTTTCAGGACATCTCACAATTCGCTTTAATAAATATTGGGCTTTTGATGTATAATTTCCAAGTTTCTGCAACTATAGAGTCTTCTGGGGGCGAAAACTGCACGTGTTTTGTTTATTTGTTAGGTTAAACTGATAATTAAATATAATTTTCAATCTAACGATTAAATGTAAAATAATTTCATACTGTAAACATGTTATAAACTAAATGCGAAAGCGTACCTGAATTAGCTATAATGATGATGTCCCTTTTAGAGCACTATTGATCTTATGGTCTTCCACCTGAAGGGCACATGTATTTTCCTCTTGATTTTCTCTCTTGATGGGCATAGAAAGAAAAGAACGGGACTGAATGTTCTGTCTACGTGCTCCCAGAAGGGGACCATGACCCTTTATATAACCAGAATTAGGTTAATTACTTAAGTTTTAGTGTTTCCAATTTGACCCCTCATCAAATTAGAAATTACTCTATGGTCTCTACACAATTTTTATTTTTATGACATATGCCTTTAGCCAAAACTTTAATTTAGTCAGATCACTTTATTATTTGACTTAATAAATAATGGCACTAACACATTTAAATTATGTATCATATATATACATGACCCAAATTTTGCCAACAATCTTCCAATGGTCACAAATATGTCATTACAACCTTACAAATGTGTTAGATTTTATGAGCTCAAAATTATCATTATATTCCTTTAGCATACTCCAAAAGTCCTGTCCATTAATCATATCAGGATATAGAACCAAACCAACTTTTCATTGCATCATCGCAACTAAAACCAATAATGACTCATCCTAACATAACCAAATGACATGGATTCATCATGAAATGTGTAGCATGAAAAATTACGTGAAGGTGATCTGTACACGTCTATTTTCAACTGGTCCAAACTTTAACTTATCGAGATCGATATAATATCCTTAATGTACAAAGTGTAATGAATGAACGAAAAAACCGCATATCTATAGATAACCAAATATGTCCAAAATCCAATGTATATGTTGAAAGTCCCACATCGCCTACCTCATATCATTTGGTATGGTTTAAATACATGTTAGGTTACTCCACATATTGCCAATTGGTTTTATGTTGGAACCTTAACATGGTATCAGAGCCAAAGCCTAACATCTTTCCGGTTATTGTCATGGGCCAAAAGTTGCCCTTTAGTTGGGTCAAAAGTACCCTTTGCCTGGTCCGGCAGGCTTCGTTGGAGGGGGTGTGTTGAAAGTCCCACATCGCCTACCTCATATCATTTGGTATGGTTTAAATACATGTTAGGCTACTCCACATATTGCCAATTGGTTTTATGTTGGAACCTTAACAGTATACATATATGAAATTAAACATAGAACATAAAATATATAAAAGTGACTAACTCCCACTAAACCACAAATTTCTCAAACTGTAAAACACCCATGTGAGCAACATGCTCATGAAAGACCTTGGGCGGAAGTTCTTTAGTTAGAGGATATGTTATCATGGAGTTTGTCCTTAAGTGTTCTATGAAAATCTGTCCACTTTGTACTCTTTTCTTAACAATACAGCTGATTTATTGTCACAATATAATTTAAGTGGTCTTTCAATACCTTTCACAATTTGCAGCCCTATGACAAAATTTCTCAGCCATATTCCATGATTTGATGCCTCATAGCATGTTACAAATTCTTGACATCCTACAAAATCTGAGTCAGAAAACCCAGCGATCTCCAACTGGTTTGACTTCTTGTATGTGAGCATGTAATCTTTTGTTCTTTTTTAAATATCTTATGACCCTTTTTTCTGCTTTCCAATGGTCTATTCCTGAATTGATTAAATATCTTCCTAGAACCCTAACTATGTATGTTATGTCTGGATGCGTACATATTTGGGAATACATCAAACTCCCGATAGCTGATGCATGGGGAATTTGTTGCATTTCCTCACACTACAAGAAAAACACCAAATAGTGACCGAAATTAGTGACTGAAAAATTCAGTCACTGATAGTAACTGAATCAGTGACTGATTTCCCTTTTTATATTTAGTGACTGATTTAGTGACGAAAATTTCAGTCACAGATATCGGTCACTGATTCAGTCACCGAATCGGTCATCGATTCGATCCACTACTAGAAAAATGGTTAATAGTGACCGAAAGTGGTGATCGAATTTTTTTTTATATTTAGTAATCGATTTAGTGACTAAATTTTCGAGTCACTAAAAAATAATTTTTAAATTGATAACTATTTTTCATTTATATAAATATTTTATTTTAAATATTTTAAATATAAATGTACTTAATAATTTAAAATAAGTGATAACATTGTTAATAACATTATAAAAATTTTAAAAAAATAGTTTACTAACTTATTAAATAATTTAGTAATATAATTATTTAATTTTATTTTTTAATTTAGCATGTGAATAAAAAAATTAAAATTGATTATTAAATTAGTCACCGAATCGATCATTGATTCGGTCACAATTCAGATTCGGTGTCACTAAATCAATAATTAAATTAATTATTAATTTAGTCTCTTTTATATATATATATATATATATATATATATATATATATATTACTTGTATGTTAATAAAAATGTATTTCAATGTATTTATAAAAAATTAAAATTATTTTAATTACTGAATTGATATTTTAAATTTATATTAATATCTTGGATAATTTAATAGTTGGATATATATTTTAAGTTTATATTAGTCATTTTTATATAAAAGTGTAAAAATAAAGTGAACTTATTTTAAAATTTAATTAAACATAATAATATAATATAGTATTAACCATAAATATGTGAAGATTTAGTTAGAAATTAATTTTAAGTTTTATTGTTTTTATTTAAAAAAAATCGTTAAAAAAATTTAAAATAATTAATTAAAGTAAAGAATTTTAATTTAATAAATGTGTTAATATTATTAGAAGAATTAAATTTATATTAATAATTATATAAAATTATAGATATATTAAAATTAAATTATTGGTAATTTTTTTAATTATTAAGCTAAAATTTGATAATATTAATAAATTAAAAATAATATATATATATATATATATATCACTTTAATTTTTTTAATTAAAATTAATTTCATAAAAAAAATAATATTTGAAAATTAAAATGCAAAAGTATATATATTTATCTTTTATTTAATTATACTTTTACACCTAAAAAAAGAAAAAATAATAAAATTTTCTTTTATTAATCATTTTTATAAAATAAAAAAATATATAATAATTACTTTTATAAAAAAAAATTTAACGTTCTTAATTCTTTAACAGATTTGTTTTAACTGATACGACAACGTTTATATCAATTAAAACACTTTACAAAAAATCTTCTAAGTTGATTTAATCGATTGTTTCAGCGATTCAATCGATTGAAATATCGCAAAACTTTCTCGTAAAACTTTTCAAGTTATTTTAACTGATAAAAATAAGTTTTAATCGATTAAAACGCTAGTGCAGAAATTGTTTTAATCGATTGAAACGAGATTTAATCGATTAAAATAGTTCTGATCGGTCATAATCGCATTCTGATCGATCATAATTGAAACGATATAATAGCGGTTCCAGGTTAACCGCTATCTAAGTGAGCTTTTAAGAGCGGTTCCTGTGTAACCGCTATCTAAAATGTATCTCGCTTGAGCGACACTCTTCTCGCTCGAGCGAAACGCCTCGCACAAAATTGGCATTCTCGGGTTGTATTTCGCTTGAGTGACTCTAGTATCGCTCGAGCGATATTTGATTCTGATCGATTAGATTTTAGAAATGATCGATCATACTTGATAATTTTTTCAAATAATTAATTATAATCGATTAGTTTTCTAAATTATTAATTAGAATTGATTAGTTTTTCAAATAATAGATTAGAATTGATTAATTTCTGAAATATATACTAAAAAATTATAATTAAAAATATAAATTAGTTAAGAATATTGACTATTGTAAAGATAAAGTAGAACATGGGAGGAGATGATGATGATAATATAATGATAGAACTTACAAAAATGTAGAAAGATAAAGTAGAACATGGGAGGAGATGATGATGATAATATAATGATAGAACTTACAAAAATGTAGAATTGAGAAGTTTGAAACAAATAAAATTAAGAAAATAGATATTTAATTACACTTTTAATAAATTTAAGATAATACTAGTTTTGATTTTTATTTTTAAATATTTATTTTAATTATTTAAAACAGAGAAACTATAATTTTAGTTTCTAACTACTCGAATTTAAAGAATGAAATTTATTATTATTTAATCTTTTAATTTTAGTATTAAAATTTTAAATTATATTTTATTAAATTAAAATAATTACAATATATTTTTCTACTTTGAGAATGAACAATATAATTAAACTCAAAATTGACAATATTATAATATATTTTTGAACTCTTTTGGATTAATTTTTTTTCCTAATTTTTGATAAAGTTAATTTTAATATTTAAAAGTATTTAACATTTTGATATAATGAGCATGATAATATAATGATAGAATTTACAAAAATGTAATTGAGAAGTTTAAATTTTTTTTTAAGAAAATAGAGATTTAATTATACTTTTAATAAATTTAAGATAATACTAGTTTTTAAACCTTTTTCTAATATTTGTTTTTAAAAATATAATATCATTTTTAATATTTTATAGATTTTATATTTATATATTTATAAAAGTAATTGGATTAAATTTATTATCCTCTCATATATTATTATACATTTAGCGTAATTTTAGTTTATTTAAAAATTAGAATACAAATATACTATACCAATATACCATTATATTATTTTCATTGTATATAAATTACAAAATTAATAATTTGTATACTATACTATACTAACATATTATTTGTATACTATACTAATAGTATAATATACTATATTATAATATTATTTGTATACAAAACTAATATCTTTATATATAAATATATAAATATGGAAAGATATAAATATATGTAAAAATATAAACATATAAATATATATAAATATGTAAAGATATAAACATATATCTTTAATATTTTGTAAATGTAAATATAATTTATATATATTTTTAAATCTTTTTCTAATATTTATTTTTAAAAATATAATATTATTTTTAAAATTTAATATATTTTTTTCAAATATATAAATATATAAAGATATAAATGTATAAGGATATAAATAAATATATAAATATATCAATATATAAATATATCAAAATATAAAAATATAAAAATATAAATATATAAATATATAAATATATAAATATATATATATATATATATATATATACAAATATATCAATATATCAATATTATCCCCTCATATATTAATATACATTATGCTATATAAATATATCAATATATAAATATATCAATATATCAATATTTAAATATATCAATATTTAAATATATATTAAAATATATAAATATATTTTTATTTATAGATTTTATATTTATATATTTATACGGATATACATTTATTTGTATATAAATATAATTTATTTGTAAGTTATTATTAAAAGATCCTATAGTAGCTCAGTGGTTGGAGTTTCAGCCTCCAACTCTAAGGTACCGGGTTCGAATCCTGACAATGACAATAAACCACCTAATAATAAGTTAAACTAAATAAATATAAATAAAAACTTAAATAAGCAAAATATATTATATTTAAGAGATAGGGAAAATAAATAATAGATATAATAAAAATGTAAATAAATAAAAATAATTAAATTTGTTATTGATTAACTTTTTCATTGATTTAGTGACCGATTTGGTTATATATAATCGGTCACTGATTCGGTCACTAAAATCAGTGACCAAGGAAATAGTGACCGATTCCAGTTGGTCACTATTTCGGTCACTATTTTAATTAGTAACCGATTTTGCACATTTAGTGACCGAATTTTCGGTCACTATTTGGTGTTTTTCTTGTAGTGTCAATTTCCAAATTCCCCTTTTGCCACTAATTTAGACTAAACTTATCTCCCTTAGTAACTGGAGTATCCCCGGCTCATGACACACAGGTTCTTGAGGATCTTGAGTTTGGTCTTGACGAACAATCAAATCATCTTGAATATGGGGTTTATCATCAATGTCTTGTGGAGGTTCCGAACTTACTTTATCAAAAGTAACTGTTTGAATCGGTTCTGGAATTGTTACCGATTTTTCCTCCAAGACAAAGTTCCTGATTTTATTCTTCCCCCCAAACTCAATATCCTCAAAGAACGTAGCAATTTCCGTCTCAGAAATTGTCTTTAATGTGGGATCATAAGATTTATATCCCCTGGATCTTTCAGCATAACCAATAAAATAACTACTTACTGTTCGTGAGTCCAATTTCTTTTCATTTGGCTTATAAGGCCTTGCCTCAGCTGGACAACCCCACACATGGAAATGCTTCAAACTAGGCTGTCGCCCAGTCCAAAGCTCATAAGGTGTTTTGGTCGCTGCTTTAGTTGGTACTTTGTTCAGCATATAAGCTGTTGTCTTTAGTGCCTCTCCCCATAGTGACTCTGGTAAGGTGGAATGACAAATCATACTCCTGACCATATCTTTAAGAGTTCAATTTCGTCTTTCAGCTACACCATTCATGCTAGGTGATCCCGGCATGGTATACTGTGGGACAATTCCACACTCCTCTAGGTACTTGGCAAAAGGTCTTGGACGCTGTTCACCTGACCCGTCAAATCTTCCATAGTACTCACCACCACGATCAAATCTGACAGACTTAATTCTTTTATTGAGTTGATTTTCAACTTCAGCTTTAAATGTTTTGAACACGTCCAGAGATTGTGACTTTTCATGTATAAGGAATAAGTATGCATATCGTGAGTAATCGTCTATGAATGATATAAAGTATTGTTGACCATTCCACGAAGGTGTAGGAAATGGCCCACAAATGTCCGTATGTATCAACTCTAAGACGTCTGTAGCTCTATATGCACCTAATCTCTTCGCTTTGGTCTGTTTGCCCTTAATGCATTCAACACAAACATCAAAGTTTGTGAAGTCAATGGACTCTAAGATTCCATTTAACACAAGTCGTTCAACTTTATTTTTAGAGATGTGACCTAAGCGCCTGTGCCATAATGCTCCTGAGTGAGTATCATCAATTTTACGTTTAGTACCCCATGATTCTGTATTAAGGGTTTCATTATAGGTGATCACATTATCAAGTAAATACAGATTATCATAAGGCAAAAGTGAACCAGTTCCAATAATATCTGAATTAAAAGATAAACTGAACTTATTGTTTCCAAATGAACACAAATAACCTAATTTGTCCAGATAAGAAACTGAAACCAAATTCCGTCTAAATGACGGCACAACAAAAGTGTCTTTCAAATCCAAATAAAAACTAGTACTCAATAACAATTTAAAATGCCCTATAGCTTCCACCTCTACCGATTTGTCATCTCCAACATATATCCATCTTTCAGAATCAATTGGCTTCCGGTAGCTTAAGCAACCCTTCATACCGATGTTAGTAGTTGCACCTGAGTCTAACCACCAAGTGTTACTAGGTATTGACGCTAAATTGACTTCGAACAGTACCAAAATAGGAAACATACTTTTGAAGATCGGAACATAATTTAAATTGGCAGATACTGAAAACAATTGTAGCTAAATTAAAAACAAGAGAAATAAATTAATTATGCTCACATTATAAAAATAAATAATTATAAATAAAATATATATTCAAATAATGGTTTAACCCATCTCAAGACACCCAATGCACCATCAATATCAAGTCTTTGGACAGTAATATTAACTGCTAGAGATATCTTGTTGTAATAATCAAACATTGACAATAAAGCACGTCCAACAACAAACCAGTCTTTGGATTGATTTATCATCGACAAAGCAAATCCTTATAATTATCACATGTTTATCATTACAAGTGTATATGCAATTCGGCCAAATATTAATCTTCCTTTGAGCCGACTAATACTCGCATGAATATACACAAACACTAACATTTAATATTTTTCACGAACTACCCAATTCAAGAGATGTTACTTTCATAACTTCTTGATTCAATTTGCTCACAAAAATATTAAACTACCAAATAAATTAAATATACTAATAAGGTAACCCTAAACCAAATTAAGTCTCAAGGTCTCTTCTAAAAAAAATTGTACTATTATGACACGTATGAGGCTTTTTAATTAAGGCAGCGGGTCCACGACATTAACAACATCAGATTCTCTTGTTAATTAAGGCAGCAGGTCCCACGTTTTCTTAGTTCCCCATATAATTGGCAACCACGGCACCAAGCGCATGCATTTAATCTAAGCCAACAGAAGAAGGGCTTAGCGGTGGCAACACCCCAGCTAGTGTTTCCAAACCCAAGTTGTGTCCTTTCCTGGTATGATTACCCTTCTCTCCGGAGTCTTCTCCACTCTCTTCCCTTCTAACAACCTCGTCCAAAGGGTCTTGCTTTTTGTGCTGTCTGTGTGCCCCACTTTCACCGATGCCGGAGGGATCATCCCAGCCGTTGTTTGGCTTCCCGATCGAAGGGAGAGGCTGATCAGATGGCTGCCAACGATCCGAGCTCCACGAAGCAGCATGGCGAGGGAGCACGTTCGTGTTTGTTCCGACACTTTCGCGACGGCAGAGTCCAAATCCTTGCGGAGGAGCGCCACGTGAAGGCACGCCATGGAGTACGCGTCGCGCCACACGGGCAGAACGGAGTGCCACGGTCCGGAGTGAAGCTGCTCCCACGCCATCTCACGCCCCGCCTCCGCCGCACAAATGTCGCTGCCGGACGCCAGCACCGCCATGCTCACGTATGCGTATCCCCCGTGCTCGGAAATCAAATGGAGCAGTGCCGCATACTCCCGGTCCAGCATCGACGTATTAAAGTGAAGAAACTAAGCGACGTTGGCGGATGCAATGGTTGTATTGTTTGGTGGTTGTGAAGCGAAGAGAAAACCGGGATGTTTAACCCTAAATTTTAATTTAGGGTTCATGAAAATTTGAGAAAATTTGAGATTAGGGTTCTGAATTGTTAAATTTTAATTTACCAAATACAAACATGAATCATGTACGGATGGCTCTGATACCAATTGTTAGGTTAAATTGATAATTAAATATGATATTCAATCTAACGATCAAATGTAAAATAATCTCATTATGTAAACATGTTATCATCTACATGCGAAAGTATACCTGAATTAGCCATAATGATGATGTCTCTTTTAGAGCATTATTGATCTTATAGTCTTCCACCTGAAGAGCACCTATATTTCCCTCTTGATTTTCTCTCTTGATGGGGATAGAAAGAAAAGAACGGGATTGTAACTACGTTCTGTCTACGTACTCCCAAAAGGGGACCATGACCCTTTATATAACCAGAATTAGGTTAATTACTTAAGTTTTAGTATTTCCAATTTGACCCCTCATCAAATTAGAAATTACTCTATAGTCTCTACACAAATTTTATTTTCATGACATATACCTTTAGCCAAAACTTTAATTTAGTCAGATCACTTTATTATTTGGCTTAATAAATAAATAATGATCCTAACATATTTAAATTTTAAATTATTATGTATCATATATATAGAGGAACCAACTTTTGCCAACATTATTAACTTTTCTAAAGGGTTGTATGCATCTATATTTTACAGGGCCATAAATGGTGCAGTTAAAGGATTCCCTGAACCATTACTGAACATAAGCAAGGAGGTGTTTGGTGAAATTGTGGATATTAGCTTTGGAAAACCTTTACGCCCATCTTTCGACGTCTATGCAAATTCCCTCAATTACTTACTCGGGGCTTATATCATTACTACTCTTGCCCCAACTGCTTATGTTGGAATCGCTCCACAGTTGCAGAATGCCACCTTCAAGAGTGTAAGGGTTCAATTCTCCTTATTTTTTGAAACTTATTGAAATTGAAAAACATGACATATATATGTCTGCAACATGTTAACAATTAATCATGTGATAGTAGTAAATGGTGTGAATATTATTGATGATACACCTAACATTAAAGATATTTAAAAGGAGATTGACGATTTTCACATGTTGAATCATGAATGCGAAAATTTAATATGCATGCACAGCTTGGTGCTGGGCTTCTGGGAGTAAATGCTGGTGAGGGAGCAGTTGTTAGAGCTTATTTATACGAACGTCGAAACAACCTGGTGTTAGAATTAATTTAATTAATTCATTCCATTATGTGACTCATGTGAAATATTATAATGGGTCCAAATGTGATTTAATAAAATATGAGGACCTATTGGTTATTATGTGAAGTTAGAATAAAATAAAGATAAAATAAAATATTACATTACGGTAACCAACTTGATGGACGTTGGTTAATAAAATGGAATAAGGGTTCTGTCTCTCGGTCATAAGGTTTTTTCACGGTAAACCATCAAGAAAGCGAAGTGTGAGAAGAGAAAGAAAGACAAAGAGATAGATTGGGAAAAGGAGATAGGAGAACGAAAAGATCAAAGAAAAAATTCTCATGGATCAAGGTTAGTCTTCTTACTATGATTCATGTATTGATGTATGTAAAATTGTGAAAATCAATAATCTAAAGATCCTGTAGAGTAGTTTTCTATAGTGAATTAAGAACGTAGGAAAACTACATAATGTTTTACATGTGGTATCAGAGCCTGATTATTAGATTTATGATTTTCCTTTTATGAAAATATTTCTCAAATGATGTTTTTCCCAAATTAAGATAAACCCTAATTATGAATTTAGGGATTTCTCTATCAGATTAGTATGAACCCTAATTTATTCCCAATTTTATTTTTCTCAAAATTAAATAAAGGAATAAACCCTAATTATGTTTTCAAGTTCAAATTGAAACCAATTTTATAGCCCCTATGCGTGAATGAACCCGTAATTGATTTTAATTGAAAAGACAAATGACGTGATAGGGTTAGGTGATCATGTATGAAATTAGTTTTATTGTATGTTATAATTATGATGAGATGTTATGATGAAGTGTTATAATTATGATGGAAGAATGATAAACCGTAAAGTTGATAAACTTTGCGCGTAGAGAGCACGTGTTAAACACACGTGTTAAACCCATATTATTTGTACATTATTTTGTACGTACATATTTTTTTTATGTGGGGAAAGGATAATTAAAGAGATAATTTTATGTTAAAGTGAGTTGTATAATATACTCATACTGTAAAACGGGTACTGTAAAGCTTTGTTATGGTACCATAAAGCTTTGTTATGGTACTGTAAAGCTTTGTTATGGTACTGTAAAGCTTTGTTATGGGTAACTATATTGTTATGGGTACTATAAAGCTTTGTTATGGGTACTATAAAGCTTTGTTATGGGTACTATAAAGCTTTGTTATGGGTACTATAAAGCTTTGTTATGGGTACTGTAAAGCTTTGTTATGGGTACTGTAAAGCTTTGTTATGGGTACTGTAAAACTTTGTTATGGGTACTGTAAATTTGTTAAGGTATTGTAAAACTTTGTTAAGGTTGTTAATGTACAATGAAGCTTTGTTAAGGTTGTTAATATAATGTTTTGTTAATGTATTGTGAAGCTTTGTTAATGTACTCACCGTAAAACTTTGTTAATGTACCTATAATGTAAACATTGATAAATGAATGAATTTTGTTTTGTAAACTGAATTATATTGTTTTCGCCGCTGTGTTTAAATTACTCATAAAAGTTTTGAATGGATGACAATTTCACTTTTACGTGAAATGCAAATAAAGGTCTTGGATTGAAAATCAATCTTAGGATGAAAATTGAAATTATGAGTTTCAATTTTATTTATGACACATAATATTTTATTATGTGAATAATATACATATTTATTAAAATTAATAAAAAAAATGCTATGAATGTTTAATAGCAATTAAAGATATTATTTATTTGAAATTAAGCATGTTAAATTTTGTTAGTCACCAAAGTGGCCAAAATTTTAAGGTTATTTTGATTTCAAATTATTAATGATTTTATTTCAATTACCCATAGTATGAATGCTAAAATTATGAATAATGATTTATGGGTTAATTGAAGTTCTTTATTATAAGGCATTTCAGGATCACCCAAAGGTCGATTAGTTGTTATTATAATTAATGAACATGAAAGTAGATAATTTTGTGTGCGTCACTAGTTTTATTTATATACCCAAAGGTGTTAGGTGATTCTAGTTGATGCATATTTTAATTATCATTAAAGTTATAAAAAGATTAGCGTAATTATGTTTGTGTATTAGTGGATCTCCCAAAGGAGAACATTAGTATGCATAGAATGGTTATTTATGTTTGAATCTGTATTTATGTTTAGTTTTTATGACTCAAAGCGTTAATGTTAGGCATGTGTTAATTGAAGTATTTGTTTATTATGTATTTCTACATTCGCTTACTTCAGTCTGTTCCAGTCTTTAATAAATTAAATTCCCCGATCTGGAGTAAGAAAGTCCAATTTCACTTAGGTGAGTTGGATTTTGATTTGGCTTTCTAAGTTGAAAAACCGGTTGCTATCACTAATGCTAGTAGCAACAAAGAGAAAACTCATTATAGAGTTTGGAAAAGTTCAAATAGACTTAGTCTTATGTTTATGCGAATGAGTATTGCAAGCAATATTAAGTATGTTTTTTCCAAAACTAAGGACGTGAAAATATTTATGAAATTTGTGAAAGAGCGTTCTCAAGCTCGTCGACAAATCTCTCATTGGGACATTGATGAGTACGTTGACCACCATGAAGTTTGATGGTTCTCGTAGTATGCATGAACACGTAATCGAAATGACAAATATCGTAGCAAGACTCAAGTCTCTTGGAATGGCAGTGGAAGAAAATTTTCTTGTGCAGTTCATTTTGAACTCGTTACCATCTGAGTATGGTTCGTTCCAGATGAATTATAACACCATGAAAGACAAATGAAATGTTCATGAATTGCACAATATGTTAGTCTAAGAGGAGACCAGACTCAAGAACCTAGGAAGTCACTCTATTCATTACGTGAAAAATCAAGGAGTTAAAAAGAAAGTTGTTAAGAAACATAGAAAGGGTAAAGGACCATTAAAGATTAACGAGTCATCTACTAACATTCATAAGAAAAATGACAAATGTCATTTCTGCGGGAAGTCTGGACATTTTCAGAAGGACTGCTTAAAGCGCAAAGCTTGGTTCGAAAAGAAAGGTGAGCATAATGCTTATGTATGTTTTGAATCAAATTTAACTGAAGTTCTCCATAATACTTGGTGGATTAATTATGGATGTACGACTCATGTTTCTAATGTAATGCAAGGATTCCTTTCAACCCGAACCATACACCCAAATGAGAAGTTCGTCTTCATGGGAAATAAAGTCAAGGTTCCAGTAGAAGCTGTCGGGACTTATCGTTTAATCCTTGATACTGGATCTCACTTAGACCTTATGGATACTTTTTATGTACCTAGTATCATTAGAAATTTAGTTTCTTTGTCTAAGCTTGATGTTGCTGGATACTCTTTTAAGTTTGGGAATGATTGTTTCAGTTTGTTTAAGCGTACTTCTATGATTTGATATGGTTAGGAGTATGTTAAGTAATTTATGTTTACCTGTATCGTTGTGGATGTATACTTTGAAGACTGCCATGTATTTGTTGAACAGGGTTCCTAGTAAAGCGGTTCAAAAGACTCCTTTTGAGTTATGGACAAGTAGGAAACCCAGTATGAGACACCTACATGTTTAGGGTTGTCAGGCAGAAGTAAGAATTTATAATCAACAAGAAAAGAAACTGGATGCAAGCACAACCAGTGGGGTTTATTGAAGAAGGAAAGGAACATATGGTGTGTAAACTTAAGAAATCAATATATGGACTTAAACAAGCTTCTCGACAATGGTATCTTAAGTTCAATGATACTATTTTGTCCTTTGGATTTAAGGAAAACACTATTGATCGGTGCATATATCTGAAGGTCAGTGGGAGTAAGTTTATATTTCTGATTCTGTATGTTGATGATATCTTGCTTGCGACTAATGATCTTGGTCTATTAAGTGAGACTAAGAAGTTTCTCTCTAACAACTTTGAAATGAAAGATATGGGTGAGGCATACTATGTGATAGGAATAGAAATATTCCGTGATAGATCACAAGGAATGTTAGGTTTGTCTCAGAAAGCATATATTAATAAAGTTTTAGAGAGATTCAGAATGGAGAATTGTTTTGCATCTCTCGTTCCAATACAGAAAGGAGACAAATATAGTCTCATGCAATGTCCAAAGAATGAATTGGAATGGAAACAGATGGAAAATATCCCTTATGCATCTATTGTTGGGAGTTTGATGTATGCTCAAACATGTACGAGGCCAGATATTAGCTTTGCAGTTGGTATGCTGGGTAGATACCAGAGTAATCCTGGATTGGATCATTGGAAGACTGCAAAGAAAGTCTTAAGATACTTACAAGGAACAAATAATGACATGCTTACTTATAGGAAAGTTGATCACCTTGAGGTGATTGAATATACGTGATTCGCATTTTGTTGGTTGTATGGATACACGAAAGTCTACATTTGGTTATGTGTATCTTTTAGGCGGAGGAGCGATTTCATGGAAAAGTGCGAAGCAGTCTGTCATTGCTGCATCCACCATGGAAGTTGAATTTGTGGCATGCTTTGATGCCACAGTTCAAGCTAATTAGTTGCGGAATTTTATTTCAGGACTTGGAGTAGTCGACAACATTGCCAAGCCGCTGAAAATTTATTGTGACAATTCCGCAGCAGTCTTCTTTTCTAAGAACGATAAGTATTCCAAAGGTGCTAAGCATATGGAATTGAAATACTTTGCCGTTAAAGAAGAAGTTTAGAAACGAAGAGTGTCAATAGAACATACTAGCACTGATCTTATGATTGTTGATCCTTTAACAAAGGGATTATCGCCCAAATTATTTGTTGGCCATATAATGAATGTGGGCATTATGTTCACTAGTGAATGTTGAATATTAACGTTATTATTAATGCTTATGTGACACTCGAGATCTTTAACGTATAAGTTTCTAAATTTGTGTTTTCTTCTTTATTTATATGCATGCAAATTATGATGAAGAAAACAAATTATGTTATTATTTTTAAAATGATATTATGTTTGAACCCATTATGGACTTCTCATTATAAAGTCATATTAAGGAGAAAGAGATAATATAGTGGTACATGGAAGGGAGCCTGTCGATTGAATGACATGTAACCGCCATGACTCTTGTTATAATCGTATCTTTAATTATGAATAATGATAGAACCAATTTATGTAAGGTCCTTTAATGCGCATTATGACTTAAGTATTAAATCACAGAATCGTATGACATCACATGAGTCAAGTGGGAGAATGTTAGAATTAATTTAATTAATTCATTCCATTATGTGACTCATGTGAAATATTATAATGGGTCCAAATGTGATTTAATAAAATATGAGGACCTATTGGTTATTATGTGAAGTTAGAATAAAATAAAGATAAAATAAAATATTACATTACGGTAACCAACTTGATGGACGTTGGTTAATAAAATGGAATAAGGGTTCTGTCTCTGGTCATAAGGTTTTTTCACGGTAAACCATCAAGAAAGCGAAGTGTGAGAAGAGAAAGAAAAGCAAAGAGATAGATTGGGAAAAGGAGATAGGAGAACGAAAAGATCAAAGAAAAAATTCTCATGGATCAAGGTTAGTCTTCTTACTATGATTCATGTATTGATGTATGTAAAATTGTGAAAATCAATAATCTAAAGATCCTGTAGAGTAGTTTTCTATAATGAATTAAGAACGTAGGAAAACTACATAATGTTTTACACCTGGTACTGCCATATTCTGTGACGGTGTCAGTGTTCACTGATCGCATTTCAGAGCTTGGAAATAGGTTAGGAAAGGAAGGAACCAAAGTCCAGGGTCTTGTAGTTTCTCCAGCGCAAGGTGCTGAGGGAAAAATAGCAGGTAATGTCATTTCTGCTGACAAAGATTCACTGACATATGCATCAAGTCCAGAGGCAATACTGCGGATATTATATGGATCGAGTGATGAGCGTGTCCCAGGTAGCTTCTACCCTAAGGGAGCAAATGGTCGTATAGCAAGATCTTTCTTAAGCCGAGCAACTTAGATACATATATATGTATACTTTATTTGCTCTGCAACCTACTCTTTAAAACCACTGTGCGCAACCAGTCATTGGTGGCATTTAATAAATAAGCACTATGTTGCATTAAGCTGGTGAAAATTTTGTCTTGTGTTGTGTTGCATTAGAGATTTGCATATTTTTGCGTTGATTTTCTCGTCGTGGATCCAATCATATAATTTAAAGGAAACAAAATATTTAAAAAGAGTAAATTCAGAACAAAATAAAATAGTTTGCATGGATTAAAAATCAAATAATGACCTATTTACAATATGGGGAAAATATTAAATATTAATATAAAATAAATAACTAAATACATGTAACAAATTTATCTAAAATATTTGATATAAATTAACCCATTTTAGGGTGAAACTTAGCCCTTAGTAGGATTGGGTTATCTCAATTCATAATTACTAAAGTTTCGAGTGATTGTTGAGTTGAGTCGATCCAATGAGTGAACTCTAAATAACTATCATACGATAACTCATGATTTCATCTAAAAATTATTCTTGCTTAGACTATAAAAAAAATTATGGATGTACATCCTCATTTTGCAAAACCCCCACTCAACATCATCATTTAATATTTTTATTTAAAATTAAAGATAATAAATTATTTTTATAATAAAAAAAATAAAAATTGAGAGAGGTTGAATGGGTGTTTCTAACCTTTTGGTTAATTGTTTGTGAATCGGTGCCCATAAAAATATTTTCCTCAAAAATGTAAACATTAGATTTCAGGTCTTGTAAGTACAAATCTTGCTAGGGTTTTGATGGACATTTATAGATAAGTCTATTGCTTATTTTAGTAAGATTTAAATATATATTTTATATAAATATGATTTTTTTTTAATCAGTCTATGAAAAAAATTCTTTTAATCTTGTAGTTATTTTTTTGTTTATTTGTCTCTATAAAATAAATGTTATTAATCATAGAGATAATTTGCTAAGATGACATTTTGGTTAGAATGACACCTGTGACATGTTTTTACCGACATGACACACTAGGGATGATAAAGCGGATCGGCCACCACTGTTTTGGCACACCTCATCTTTGGCCCATCAAAAGTGGGGTGGGGTGGGCTGACTCGATATAGTCATGACGGGTTGTAGATCTTGACCCATCCCACCAAGGGACGGGTTAGCGGTCTAGCGGGCTGGCCGCTATAATTAAAAAAATAATTTTTTTAAAATAATTTTTTTAATAAATTTAATAATAAGATTATTATTTCTTTGTGAATAATTAAATATATATATATATATATATATTATTTCAATTTAATAATATAAATCAATACATTATTTTAAGAAATTATAATTTAGAACAATAATAAAATTTACATAATAATAAATAATAACAAATATATATATATATATAAATAAATAACGTTAAACTTATAAAATTTATATTTTTTATATTGAAAAATTCAAATACCTATATCTTTTTTATTTGATAAAACTTCATATTACTCTTAGTTGAGTAATTCTTACACCTTTAATTCAAGTAATAAGGATAAAAATAATCAGTTAAGCAAGGAGAACATGAGAGAAATTTATGTTTCAGGAAGGAGAATATTTTATGTGAGAATGAAACTTTTTTAATTCTCTTTTTAAAATTTTTATCTTTATATATTATCTTTATAATTAATTTTATTATAATAAAAATTATTTTTTTATTAATTAGGTGGGCATGCCAGTTGGCTAGTCCCGTCTCGCGGGTTGGCCTGATGGGTTGGCGGGCTTACGCGGACGGGCCAAAGCGGGCTAGTGGACTGAAAACACCAACCCGCTCCGCCATATTTTAATGGGCTGGCGGGTCAACTCACCGAGCCTAACCCGTTTTGTCATCCCTACATGCAACAGCATGCAAAAAATCCTATTAAAACTAGAAAAGAAGTTGTAAGAGAAAAGAGATAACTTACAAATTATGTTTTGATAAATTATTATTATTATTTATAATTGTTGAAAAGGTGTTCGAGACGTAAGAAATATGATCCCTAGTTTTTTTTTCATTCGATAATGAATCAAAGATTTAATGATTTTGAGAAACTTCGATGATTAATAGTTTGTACACACATAATAAGCACTCCCATATTTTGAATAAGAAAATTATGAAAATAATTAGTATCATCCATTTGGTCTTAATAAGGTACTCTCAACGTCTCACAATAAATGTGGTGAAAGAAAAACAATAAATTCTGAAATAAGTGTTATTGAAAGTTTTTAACGTGATATTAATTATTTCACATTAACATCCCTAATAGTATGAAGAAAGAAGAAGAAAATGAACTATGGCATACTGTCTAAGTAATGTTTGGCTATACGACTATTTCCTCCCTTGGGGTAGAAGCCACCGGGGACACGTTCATCACCACTCCCATATACTATTCTCAGTGTTTCCTCTGGATCCCTTCCATTTGTGAGTGAATCTTTGTCAGCTTCAATCACATTACCTGCAACTCTTCCTTCAGCACCTTGTGATGGAGGAACTACAATGCCCTCACTTTTGGATCCTGCCTTTCCAAGCTTATTCGCTCCCTCTGAAATGCGATCTGTGAACTCTGCCACACTTATTGTATATGGTGCCACCAGCCATTCTTGGTGTTCAAATAGATATGCTCGATTACTTGTTTCAATCCCAGATGCTACTCCTAGAAGCCCTGCAACAAGCTGCATGCACATGTATGTATTAGTGAAATACTTTCAAGAATTAGGGTTTATTGAACTTGAACCATGCTTACTTCTTTGGACGTGGTGTTCTGTAGCTTTGGGATGATTCCAGCGTACGCACTGGGGGCAACTAAAGTAACTATGTAGCAGGCAATTCTGTAGTTCATGGAATTGGCATAAGGGTCAAAAGGTGGGTGCAAAGGTTGTCCAAAGAAGTGATCCAGGGTTTCAGCAAATAAATCCTTGCTTATATTCAGCAATGGCCTAGGGTAGCCTTTTACTGCGCGCTTTATGGCCCTGTAAATGCAACAACTTCACTTTCTTTAGAACTCCCATCAGATTCATTTTTAAAAAGAGAAACGAGTAAAAGAAATAATGGTTTGAAGAGAACCTCAAATGTCCAACTGCAATGAAACCATATTGTAAGCTGAGATTTCTTGTGAGGGGATCCAGATTGGCCATTTTGCCACCAACAGGAGGGGGTCCTCCCTGGGCTAACCCTGGAGCAAAAGCATCCAATCCACGACCAGTAGCACCCATCAAGCAGAACTCAGCCACCAAAAATGCTAAATCAAGAGGATATTCCACGAGATCAGCATCAGATTTTGGGCTTGACCCTTGTCTTTCATTGATCTCGGAAGAATAAGATCTTGGGGTGTGGAGAAGGAGAAGGAGAAGGAGAAAGCTTAGCGAGCCAAGTGTCATTTTTACTCATGCAGGGTCTCTTTTCTTTTCTTGGTGCCAACGCACACAATAAGTGTGTATATGTAGTAGTAATGGCGTAGGTGAAACAGGGTGCACATATATTTCAAAATAAATGTTGTAATTATTAATAAAAAATTTCAAATTCGAAATGTTAATTCTATTTACACAAATTCAACTGAAAAGTTAAACCAAACCTACCCTATTTGTTCCAAGAGTGCCACACCCTATATTTCCCTTGCCAAACCCATTTTTATATTAAAATTATGAACCAGTAATTGCGTTGGTCCATTTCAAAACTGATAACAGTAGTGAAAGTAAAAATAAAATAAAATTATTGTCTCTCAGCATCTTAAGTAAACCCTAAACATAAAAAATAGCTAGTTTTTTTGTGTTAAACTTTTTTGTTTACTATTAATTTTCACAAAAATGCTTACATTTTGTAAATGTGTTAAACTTTTGTTAATATTTTTAGATTTCATATAAAATTGTTTGTTAATATTATTATTACTATTTTTTCCATAATTAACAAAGTATGTATCTTGATAACATGGATTCATATTGTGGATATTTTTAAAGACGTCAAATAACACATACAATCACAGAATTGTTGAATGGAAAATATAAAAAATTCTAAAAGTGAATTTATAATCAGTCAACATATTGAGTTACTTTTAAATTTACCACGATAATAAATGCATTGTGTGTAGATGTGACAATCATCATAGGAATTGGGAGAAAATAAGAAGTTGTAGAGAAAGTAAGCTATCAATTTATCTTTATCTTCCAAGTTATACGTTTCCTAGAGGTAATATTGTTTAATTTTTTTTTCCGTAAATAGATAAATAATGTTCTAAAACATGACTTAAAAAAGATGTCTTTTAAAAATATTATTTTTTTGTCCTACTTTAATAAAAAAGTTATGTTTCTTTTATTTATTTACTATTTAAAATATTTTATCCTTCAGTAAATTCATATTTTAATATCTGATTTTACTTTATATTATTTTATATATTTCAGCATTTTTATATAATAATATATATTTTATCATTATAAATAATAGTTACTATTATTATAATATGTATTAATAATTATAATAATAATAATAATAATAATAAATACAATAGTATTGTTAATAATTCTTATTATTATAATAATTAATATTATTAACTTTTTATTTATTTATTATTATTATTATTATAAATATATTTATTATTATTATAGAATTATTAGTTTACTTTTATTATTTATTAAAAATATTATTGTTATTATTATACTTATTATCAGTTTTAATAAATATCAATAATAATAAAATAACAAATGTACTAATAAAAATAATTAAAACTTAATAAATATAATAAAAAACAATAATCATAATAATAAAAATTATTAATTTTATTATAATAATAATAATAATAAATTTGTAATTGTATAATATAAAAAAGCTTAAATTATTATAATCATTAATATTATTAATAATATTATTGTAAGAATTATTATTATTTATAATAATTAATAATAATAATAATAATAAATTATTATATAAAGATATAAAATATAAAAAAGAAAAATAAAAGGAAATTATTTATTTATATACAAATTTACAAGAAGATAAAAAGGTTTAAAACATTAAAAAAAAAAAACTGAAGTCGTACATTAAAGTATGATTTTAATATTAAAGTGAAAAGTGATCATTCAAACACATGTTTTTTTTTCTTTTTAAAGTTGTTTTCTTTTAATATCCATTTTAAGAATTAAAAAAAAAAAATTACATCGGTATTTTTGCCCTTTGAATAACCAATGTACTTTTATCAATAATTATTTGTATTTTTTTTTTCTTTAAATCACTCTAGAACTGGTTTTTTCTTTTTCATTAATTTTTTTTTAAGGTTCAATGAATAACTCGTCCATGAATGGGTTATATTACAAGAAACGTTATTATTTTTTATAAATAATATTCTTAATAACATTCAAAATATATATATATATATATATATATATATATATATATATATATATATTTTGTATTCGACAAGTTTTTAATTTTTATAATAGTTATTTTATTAAGGTAAAATAACTGTTTAACAGATTCATGATAACAATGATTTTTAATTAAGAGATATAAATTAAAAAGGTAAAGATAATTTTTTTCTAAAAATAAAAATATAATGATTTTTTTAAGAGAAAAATATAAAAAAAATATGAAATTTACAACTAAAAAATTATATATATATATATATATATATATATATATATATAAGTAAAATTAAAAAATTGGGACGGTAAATGCTGTCCAACTTAATTTTTTTTAAATTATAATTTTTATTTATTTCAAATTAAAAGAGGGTCGTTTTCCTACCCTGGTGATTGAGATTTTAGAGTTAGTTTGAATATAATGAAATAAAATAAAAGACTAAAATAATAAATTAATAAAATAAATAGTATTTAAATTTAATAATAATTATTATATAATAAATAATATGATAATGATCATAATAATAATAATAAACATTTTAATAAAAATAATAATAAATGTTATTATTTTATTATTATTGTTAGTAATAGAGATATGTTCATAATTTATTATTATTTCTATTTTAATTTATTAAAACTAATATATATATATATACGTAATAAATTTAAAATAAAAATATTTATTTTAAAAATTATAAAAGTTGAAGATAGATAAATGTGCGATAGGAGAGATAAATTAAAAAATAATATACAATTAAAAATTAGAAAAAATGATATTTTTATTATTTTATATTAAAAAAAAGATTTGAAAAAAATATAAAAATATTTAAATGATAATACTATAATTTAATACATTATGAGAAAAAAATATTATATGATATATTTGAGATATTCTATGTTATAATTAATAAGAAAAAAATAAATATTTATTTTAAAATAGTTTTAATAAATATTTTTTTAAAATATCTAATTATCATAATTAGATTAAAATATTAAATAAAAATATATTTAAATTATAAATATTTGATATTTTTAATTAGATGAATAATCATTTATTATGATAAAATAATTTTAAATTATTTATTTAGTAAATAAATTTATTTACTGTCAAAATAAATAAAATTATTTATTATTATCATAATTTCAAATATTTAATTTATTTTTTTAATTTTAATAATATTTTTAAAATATTCATTTTAAAATATTTTTATTAAATTTTAACATAATAATTTAATTAAGAGAATAAGTAGAAAAAAAAGATGAAAAGTGAATAAAAAATAAAAAATAAAAAATTATAAAAAGAGAAAAGAAAACCTATATTTTTTAACAGTAAATAAATTAATAATTTTATATAAATTTTATTTGAGTAATTCTTCTTTTAAAATATTACTTTTAAGAGTTATTACTAAAAAGACAATTACAAGAGAAAGTTCTTTATAGATTATTATTATTATTCAATATAATATGATAAATACAAAAAGGAATTATAAAAAATAATAATAATATATCATCATAAAATTAAATAAACTTAAATTTCAAATCTCATAAAATTTAGATAAAAAATTATAAAAGATAATGTATTTTTATGAAGAATAAAAATACTTTATAATAAAATGTTTTTGGTAAAAAATTATAATAATAATAATAATAATTAAAACAATACCTTCTCAGTGAACAGCTCGTTAACTAATCAAAGTTGAGATGTATTAACCCTGCCCATATTGATCTAATTAAACTTAACTTGGATAAACTTAACCCAACTAACATAAGCTCGATATTATCCAACCAAACCTGACCTAGACCTACCTACCACAACCCAGTTCGACCTAAATGATTTGATATAACTTAATCTTTTTTTAACTTTGATATAATTTAACCCAATAATTAATTCAAATCAATCTAATCCACCCTTACCCATCCGTGTGGGTGTTTGTCCGAATTTATTTTAACTGTCTCATCTACTGTTTGATGTATAGTATAGTAGGTGGTAATATATGCGATATTATTTTACAACACTTAACAATAAAAAAATGAGGTTGCATAATATAAAATAAAAAAAATTGCACCTACCCTCTTATCTATACAACTCCCAGATCCCTAAAAAACAGCAGCTATTAGTCTATCAGAATGATTCATTTTTGCTTCTTTTATAAGTACAAGTTCACTTTTACTTCTGTAACTTGCATAAAAAATGCACCTTTCGGTGAAGTAGTTGGCCTGACAAACCAATTGTAGCAGAAGCTGCCCAGTATTCTTCCGTCCATAGGAACTATCATAGAATCTTGCAACAGTATATACATCTTCAAACCTGCGAATTTATGTATATTTAGATTTAAACAAGTGTATGGCGCATAAAATGCAAAAGTAAACGTTAAAATTTTAACTATTCTACACAAGTAGGCCGCATCTCATTTGTGGTGGTGGCACAGCTTCCTTATTTGACATGATATATCTCTATATACTACTCACTCAAAAAATGTCCATTAAGCGGAGGGAAAAGCATCATAATTTTCACTTTTTTTAAAAGCTACCCGGATAATTTTTGAGACAACTATATAAATAGGTATATTTGACAACTTTGCAAAGAAAAAAAAATCATATTTCCAAATAAGACTTTTTTTTTCATTCTAATATTGAAATGTATAAAATGAAAGCATAACATCACTTTAAATATATATATATATATATATATATATAGAGAGAGAGAGAGAGAGAGAGAGAGAGAGAGAGAGATCATGCTTTCAATAATAATAATAAATTATTAATAATAACTATTACAATAAGTAAAAAAAAAAAGTAAAATGGTATTAAAAAACATGACTTTAATATAAAAGGTAAGAAAAAAATATGTACAACTTTACTTAAAAGCTTGACTTAAATGTAAAAAAAGATCGTACTTGAAACACAATTTCTTTCTGATGAGAAATCGTCCTTCCAAACATTTTGACTTACGCATTTGTATAATTTTTTGAAAAATTACCCAAATCAGTAATTTAAAAGTAAAAAATGCACAAGGTGCTTTTCCCTACCGCGTAAGTGTCAGGATCCATGAAAAACGTCAGAGTTTATTTTAGCTGCTTCTATGTAACTCTTATGTGGTAGACTAGTTTTACAGTAGCCTAGTTGTCAAGGAGCCTAACAATTTATCCATAGGGCATCAAGCAAAAATCTATCTTTATTACCAGTCGTTATCATCTATGTTACCACCGAACTATGTTCTGACAAGTAAAAAAACTTTGCCAGTCTTCTTTGCTTTCATACACATGCATGTACTCAGGTGTTGTGTATAGAAGCAAGTACGAGCTTAACATATTGACGGCAGATTGCTTAGATCTAAGGATAATTTAAGTAACTTAAACCAGATAATGTTATTGCATTAACACTTACCAACATTTGAGGTATCCTAAGGAAGCCAAGGGACAAAGAATATAGAACAACTGAGATTGTTGTTGCTGTAATTAAATTGTGTACAAGACGCTTGTTGTCTTTGCTGGGCACAAATGCCACTTTGAGTGTATTTGTCAGGTCAAAAAGTCTATACGAAATCTGCGAAGAATGTTAACATCAGAATCAATCAACATAAAAAATCTCAATCCAACTTGTGCTTTTAACTTACTGCAACATATATGGAAGTAGTAAGCATGAAGTTTAACATTGGGTAGTCTGGGATCAGGGAAAGCAACAATTTGGGTTGACCGTCTGGAACACCTGACCTAAAATCAAGCAATTACGGAGAGGAAGAATTAATATATTCAGATAAATATAAAAAATAATTACACTACAGATGTACACAAGATGCATCAAGCACGAAAGTAATTGCACGTGAATGTATATTAAGCATTTTCCCCTTTAGGCATACACTAAGAACCAGAATTTAGAACTAAAAAGCAATGTTTTAGTAAAATCACTTTCACCCTCTCAAGGACGAGGTAATCTCTTGCCCGCATACTTAGCGCAAACCATATTCCTTGTTACGTTATGACAAATTGATATACATGAAATAATTACTTCGTTAATATGTAATATTTTCTGAAATTCAAAGTCATCACACCAACCAAAAAATAATAATTAAAATAACTCAATTAAATGCTCAATATTGAGTGTAACGAAACAAATATATGAACAAATCTAGACATCTATTATACCATGCCAAACAAGCGAAATCCTAAATCCCCAAACATCTTGCATCCAGGTCATCCTAGGAATCAAATATGTTTGGGTAACTAACCACATGTGCACCAAACAATCCCTCAACTCAAATTATGACAATATGTAATATCTAGTAAAGCATCAATAAATGCTAAAAGCAGTGCATCAGCTTCAACGTACCTTAACCAGATATGGATTTGGGAGATGTAAGTCTCCAGAGTAATCTTCCCAAGCCATCTAGCAGAGGTAGAAGCATTATAAATAAGTTTACCAGCCTTAAAACAAAGTGAAGAAACTTAAATTTGACAGCATTTAGCAATAAATTTCGTCATTAATTATGAAGGCATGTCCATGTGTGTGCGTGTGCAACAGAAGGGAAAGACAGAGAAATAAAAGATTGTACTTCTACAAAGACAACTTACGCAAAAAGTGTCAGTGTATAGCTACGAAAACTTTGTGTAACATTCCGCAAGCATATGTAAACCCTGTCAAATAAAAATGTTTAAGACTAATAACAAAAAAGGTCTCTTCACCAGGTTCCTCTCCCTGCTCCCAAAAAGAAATAATAAAGAAAAATGAACTTACGTTATGGGAATCCACGAGGTATAAGGATGGTATTTATTGTATGTAAGCTTGTCCATCTTGTAAATATGCTCAAACCATAAATAACCAACCTAGAAATTAACTCAAATGGTCAGGGCCATCAATTAAAAAGACAAAGGTCTACTAATATAATAATGCCAATAAAAACTTAATACCAATGAGCATATCAGCACAACAGTTGCTTTGATTGATACTCTGCGCTTGATTTCTGCTTCCTCCAATTTTTCCATCCATCGTTCAACCTTATTATACCATGTGACAGTCAATAATGGTATTCACAACTCACAGGAAAATGAAAAAAAGAAAAAAATGGAGGCAGAAATCAGAGATATTTTCCTGCTTTACAGTCATTAATCATTCACAGAGAGGATGGATCCCAATGTAAGATCTGTTTGAATGATTTAAAAAACATAAAAAAGAGAAACTTACAGTTGGATGATAGTAAGCATAAATCATTCCAATTATCCATATGTAGCGATCAAGCCCAGAGCGAAAATGCCATTCATGCAACCGAGAAAGATGTGATTTGGCAGGATTCGGATCAGTATAACCTGCAAGTTCCAATAAACCTTCAGTTAGCATGATCTATAGTGCTTTTAAGGGTGAAGTCAAATATCATAAATGTTACTAACCAAGAAAGAAAGTAAATGGACTCCAAAGCCATTCAAAGACTCCAGGTATCTCCCATACTAAGATAACAATCAAGAAGCAAGCAATGATTTTTACAGCAATGACTGACCCAATCTCATTGTACTTGTTGAGCATACCAAGTGCCCCATAAACCATAAGAGTGAAAAGAGTGTGCATGGGGCAGATGTAGTATAACATGTAACTGTTGTTAAGTACAATACAACAGAACACCACAAAGAAATTAAGCCTCCACATCATCTGCTCAACCAAAAGAAAGTAATAAATTTGCTGCAATCAGTATAGACCCAAATATGAAAAAACAAGCTTTTATAGTTCAAGGAAATTGCATACCTGAGCAAATCTGGCTAGACTAAAATCTTTACGAACATAATAATATGAGAAGTTCCCAAATCCAGTCATCCAAACATATGCAGCAATGAACAAACGAATTGCATTGTAGATTTCAGATGCGGCAAAGTAATGGTACATTAAAAACAAAACCTGTTATGGATGTCAAATGATAAAAAATATGAAATGTTAAAATTTGAAGAATTTACATTATTAAATGTAAGTACAGAAAGAGTTGAATAATCAGAAGATCTGATGAAAAAATCTACAACAAACTAAATTGCATTTATTATTATTAAATATATCAATTTCAGGTGGTCTGAACTTGCATCATTCAGAATTTTCAGTGAGCTTTCCCAGCATAAATGGAAAGACAACGGTAAAATCATCCAAAAAAGTGACCAACCTGCATCCACCCTTTCCATTCTTCAGTCTGGTGTCTATTTAAATAAAGGATGGATTTCCCAGAAAATGGTGACTTGTCTTGATGTATTTTAAAGGACGTCATTGCTGAAACTAGGATGAGGAGAAAATAGAGAAATAGGAAGAGATCCCTATTGTAACTCTGCAAAAACAAATGATTGTTAACAAAGATTTTATCACTTATGCATAGTAGCCACATGACAATGCTAATTTTTTAAAATATATATTACTGCTTTCATGGATAAGGCAAACGTAATTTGGAATAATGATTTTTTCTAGCCAATGACCAGCAGCAATGACACTTGCTAAGGTGGTACATTGTGCTTCGTGTACATTGATGCAACAGGTAATTCACTCCTTTGTCTTTTTCATTTTTCCTCTACTTTATGATTGAGTTCAATCGTTTGTTGGTTTTTTATTCAACAAGAGATGTTTCAGCCTATCTTGGATTTTCCTATTTTCATACGTTACTTGTTATACTGTATCCTAAAGGAAATCATGACTACAGAAACAAAAGAAATATGAAGCACCACAAAAGATGTAATTTTGTTGAAACAATTAGAAAGTTTGGGTTAAAGCTAATGAGCCATGCCAATGCAGCAATATTTGCTAGCTGAAGTGACTCTCCAATCACAAAATAGTACCATCAAGAAATGAAACCCAGAAGAGAAATATCCTGATTAAATCATCAACCTTTTTTGACGAGGCAAAGAAATCTGTGCGGTCACACAGATAAAAGTAAGCCAAAAGGAGACCAAATTCAGACCTGTCACAGAGAAAAATCAGAGGAAATGAAAAACAATCAGTTTGATCCACATACACAAATAATTCTCACTTCACATAATTTACTTACATCGCTCTAAGTGTCAAACGGTTTTCAAGAAGGAAATACTCATCCATCAAAAGGAATCTGAAGAAATAAGGAAAACGCCAAGTGCGTAAGAGTAAGTTTTTAAGCAAAAACAAAATAACAAAATAGAACCATAACTTAACCAAGCAAAAACAAGAGAGACATGAATTACAAACCGGATAATTGACGGTGAGGCAGTTAAGCTCCGCGCCCTCGGGGATCCTGACTGCAGAACTCCTCTTTCCAATAAAACTGCTTTGTCTTCGTCTTTAACACCATCACTACCCATTTCAACTAAGTTGATATCCGAGTGACCACTAAACCAAAACAAATTCCATAAGAAATCATGGAAACAATTTTTTATTGCACTTCCATTCTTACACATTGGAATAAAATAACATTTCTGGAAGAACCGCCAAAGTATAACTCTCTCCCAAAACTCTTAAACTTAACTCTGCCACTTAATTAATTATAAATCATAATTGAATTGTGAAATTCTCTATTCTAAAATATTGCAGGGGAAGAAAAAAATGACAGAAGTTGCATAACGGTTATAACTCATAACTACAAAAACCACTTATTGCGAAATAAATATATGTATGTTAATCCAATTGTGGCCAACCACTTAATTCAACAACTCAACGAATAACACAGCAACTATAAGCGATCACTTAATTATTTAACTATCGAAATTTTGGAAGAAGCTACATTCCCGTAAAATGCAAACATTGTGCCAGCAGGCGAACCTAAAAACTCACGCCACAAAGATTAATCGATCGAATCGAACTTACGCTCTGGACGAGACAGAGTTTTTCCGATACTCCATTATCTCCGAATATATCCATGCCACAACGACAGGAGTGATCCCGAGCAAGAACGAGACCTACAAGCATCACAAACCGAAGATTCAATAGCTATTACCGAATACAGACACAAACACGTCAAATTCCAAAGAGGAAAGAATTAACTAGCGGAGAAGAAACACGAATCAGTCACTCGCACAAACATAAGACACAAAATTCCACGGTGAAATAAACATAACCGTGTAAATAGCGGCGAGAAATCACGAGTCGGTGGAAGATCTGATGGCGGTAGAAGATCGAACCAGAAGACGTACCTGACCGGGAGTAACAGGACTGAAGAGAAGCATTTTGGAGAAGCAAAAGCGGCAAAAGAATGACAGCAGAGTTCCGAATTCGGATGCAGCGGAAATCACAGAAACTAAAGCGGCATTCGGAGAATATGAGAGAATCGACGTTGATCCGCCACCGGATCTGGTGGAGGGGAATGGTGTTTCCTGATTTAGCGAGAACGAAAGGGGGAATGAGGAGAAATATAATACTGCAGATGGTTGGGTTTGTAAATACAGAGGAGTGCAGTGAGTGACGGTTGGTGATACGAGTAGAACTCACTGCGCGTCTGTGTTCGAGATGGAAAAAAGGTGTCTTGCAGAGACAAAAACTCTCATTAACTATTTCCATTTTTTTAGGAAATAATTAACTATTTCATTAATTATTTCTTCTCATTTTAAAAATAACTACTAGAGTTATAAAAACTAAATTAGCATCTGCCTGTTGGATATTTTTTCTTTAAATAAAAAAAATAATTAGAATGTATTCATAAATTTATCTAATTAAAAATAAAGTAAATAAATGAATACACATGAGGCGAAGTGAGGTGTGAAATTGTGATTTACTTGGAGAGGATTTTGACTTTTTTTTTTTGTATAATCATAGAGGTGTTAGAAAAGTACTAGTATGTACGCAATAAATGACCGACAATTCAATTGAATTTAGCAAATTTAAATGGAGTTCGAAATTGTTGAGGGTATTTTAGTAACTTCGTAAAGGTATGATGGTGGCAGTACACCAGCCCCATTAGAAGATAATTGAATTTGAATTAAGGCTTTGTTTGGTTGGAGTGATTTGAGAGAGTGAAAATGAGAGAGGGGAAAAGGAGGAATTTGAAGAGAAATGGAGATGAATGGAATGTTTATGGGAAATTGTGAATGATTTGATTGATATGAGATATAAAAATTATAATTTTATGTTGATTATTTAAGAAAATTACCATTTTACCCTTTGTATAAAATAAGGTTCAAATAATTATAAATATAAATTTTTAATTAATTATCCATATTTTAACATTGATTATATATTTAACAGAAAAAACAAAATTAAAAGTGTTTGTAATTGGAAACAAATTTAAAAAATTAACTTTTTTAGATAGTTATTAAAAATTATATAAATAAACAATTACAAAATTATGTACATTGCATATCCATATTCAAATAATGTTGACATATTAAATAAATTATTTGACTAATAATTAAATAATTATAAAATATAAAATAATAATTAATATTGACTGATAGTAACAAATAATTATGAAAACTAATAATATAATTGTACATTATTATTTAAAACAAATATAAAATATAGTGAAAATAGAATAATAATTAAATGAAACATTACTAAAATTTTAAACCTATGCACACTAATGCTCTTCAAACAAATAATTATAATGTTATTCATCTTTTGCGATCAAATCCTCCAGGTTCAGATCATTCAATCACTTCCACTCAAGAACATGAACAACTTGGGAGAGACGAAGATGTCCCATATATCTGACTCGAATGTTGAAATGTTTATGATCGTCTCATCACATTAACTTGAGATAAAATAATTACAATATAATTTTCTACTTTGAGAATTAATAATATAATTAAACATCAAAATTGAAAATACTCTTATACATTTTGAACTCTTTTGGATAAATTTTGTTTCCCTAATTTTTGATAAAGTTAATTTTAATATTTAAAATTATTTAACATTTTGAATTCTAAAAGGTTTTGTCTAATAGCAAATTTAAAAACATAATATTCAAAAAAATATTTTAAGATTCGGGTTATATTTCGCTCGAGCGACTATATCTCGCTCGAGCGAAATTTAATTATGATCGATCATAACGTGAAATGATCGATCATAATGGAGGATATAATAGCGGTTCCTCTGTAACCGCTATCTAAAGTGTATATTAGATAGCGATTAAGGTTTAACCGCTATTATAAGCTCCTTTTAACAACCTTGTTGCGTCTGGGGTTGTGTTTCGCTTGAGCGACTATATCTCGCTCGAGCGAAATTTGATTCTGATCGATCATAACGTGAAATGATCGATCATAATTGGAGGATATAATAGCGGTTCCTCTGTAACCGCTATCTAAAGTTTATATTAGATAGCGGTTAAGGTTTAACCGCTATTATAAGCTCCTTTTAAGAACCTTGTTGCGTCTGGGGTTGTGTTTCGCTTGAGCGACTATATCTCGCTCGAGCGAAATTTGATATAATAGCGGTTCCTTTGTAACCGCTATCTAAAGTGTATATTAGATAGCGGTTAAGGCTTAACCGCTATTAGAATTGCTGTTATAATAGCGGTTAGGATTTAACCGCTATCATATATTGCAGGGTAACTGCGACTTTTCATTACTTTCATCTCTTTTCTTCGCACCTCAGCGAAGAAACTCTCTCTCTCATCTCCCCCTTTTCCTCGCCTACATTTCGTCGCAAATCAGTTCAACCAAACATGTGTGAATGTCGTGTTTCTGTCTTCATGAATAGTATTTCGTCACAAATCAGTTCAAACAAACACAGCGTAAAGCTGTTTGCTTCACCGACACCCACTTGGTATTCCTTACCTTCTGCACTCCCCGTTTTCGAGGTCTCTGTTTCATTGCTGTATTTTGAACGCACTAATATTAAAAAAAAAAAAAGTTAATTCATTTAATCAAAATATGAACTCACTGTGCAGAGTAAATTTTTTTATCAGAGCATGTCAGTGACCAGGTTGTGGCATCATTTACAACAGTTGCATTTCCTCGGTGATGTTTGGATATTAAACATTAAATAAATTATTTATTCAGAAACATTTATTCATTAGTGTTTAAAAGCAACTACTTGCCTATTTATATGATATTTACTTAAGCATACATGTAAATCGCATCATTTACATTGTATGTGTGTGTGTTTGAATATCATTGTTAATCTAATATGTAATAAGAGAAAAAATTTGTTTAATAATTTCTCAAGTCTAATAGTGCAGAAGATGAAATTATTATATATTGTTATTTAAGGCATAAAAAATACTTTCCAATTAGTTTTGTTTTAATTTATATTTTTTATGTTATGAAATATAAAACTATTAATAAACTTTGCATATGATGAAATTTCAAAATTGTTTTTTATTTATTCATATATCTTGCAATACTTCGAAATTTCCTTTCATAGTATAATTAGTGTTTAATTATTCTAAAATGACATTAATTGTATAATAATTATTAATACTCTAATAATACTTTATCTTAACATATATTTATAAATAGACGGATTGTATCTCTCTTGGCTAATTATTAACAAATTTCTTGTTCTTACCTAATTGCCTAATTCTGGCACTCCATATTTCTTTCTTGGCTTCACTCACTGCCTGACTGGAGAACGAAGTATGGAGCCTGAAAAATAAGGGATAAATATCCTAATAATGGATCATAAATGGTAGACAACACAATAGCCACTCAGTTCATTAAATTTGGGTACAGAGGCCTGCTATCTGAACCGCACCGCACTCAAACAAAAAGAATTATGCATCAATTTTTCCATTATGCCAGTTACGTCTTTTTCTTACAGATTCTGAGAAACTATGTAAAAAAGATTCAAAAGAGAACATATGAATAGTTTCACTTGGATTCTAAAAACAATTGTATGAATAGTTTCAACCCCTCTTCCAGTGGGAGATGGGTTGATACTCTTAAACTAGCAAAGTTGGAACAAAGCAAATTCAGCATCAATAGACCCTGTAGTTGAAACTCCTCAAATCAAAATTATAATGCGTCGCAAGTATTTTAGTATACAAAAAAAGGTAACACAATTTTCCGTTCGTAGTAGATTCAATATTTCATCATGGACCCAATGACGAGTTCACTTTGTGGGCGCCTAAAAATATAGTGGGTTCGGTCGGATCCAGTAGTCATAAATCCGGCAGACATGACACACCCATCAAAATGTAATAAAAACTAATGAGTATAATACGATTTTAAAAAGAAAAAACAGTATGTAAAAGAAGAAGAAATTTACCAACGGATACAGTAATACATAACATGAGATCTACCAAGCTACAAAGTACTTAAAAACATTCAAGTGTGCAAAATTTGTTCTATAGAATGTTTAACCCATTATAGACTATGCACCAAGCATTTGAAAGTAAATAAGCCTAATAATGTCGCACCATAATGATACAAGAGAGAATAAAACAATTCCCAGAAGCTTTCTCTAAAGTGCTTTTAAAGGACAAAGGGAGATAATTTAACCTATGGTTGACTAGTTTAAGCCCTTGAGCAAAGAATGGACCCAACTCTACCGCTTAGAGGGTCTCTCGTCATCGTCTCCACCGTCATCGTCATCCGAGCCATCTTTATCTGACCTCTTCCGTTTCGGTGGAACCTGAGCCTTCTCACCATTCTCATCGTCAACATCTTCATCTTCCTCCTCCCCATTCTCCTCTGGCTCAAAATCACTAGATGCTTCCTCCTCCTCAGCAGTGCCTAAAGGGCGAATAAGGTACTCTGTTCCCAAATCCTCCTACAAGTGGTTCAAGCAGGAGGCCATCGCAAAGTAGGAAATTATATTTATAGATTATTGACAAGATAAGTATGGACGATGGGCCAACACAGAAGATACAAAACTAAAATTCATTTCACACGTCTTCGTTTTCATTTTGACTTGAAACATGTTCTTTAAGCAAAAACTATTTCTATTAAGTAGATTCTCAAAAAACCCTCTCCCATAAAAACCCATGAAGCCTAAATTGGGAAAAAGTAAAGAGATTCAAACTACGCCAATAAAAGAAACTGGTCCATCATACACTGCATATTCCAAGTGAACATGTATTTATTGTTTCCCACATATGGTTTGCATCAATAAGACAACAAGAACAAATTCGCAAACATATCAAAAATAAATGAAGGAATTAGCAAAGATCAAACAATAAAGAGTTGGAATTTAACAATTTAATGATACTACTATACTACTCTCTCTTTTTTTCAACCGGTACAAACCGTACTGATGCACGTAATTCTGAAGTAAGGGAAAAGGACATTGCAGCAGGGTGAAGTTACGACAGTTCCATCACAAAAGAAAGAGAAATGAAAATTAGAACGCAAAACATACTAATGACAAAAACACAAAAACTAATTCCACTACAAACAGGTTGTTCTAAAACAAATTTAGAAGAAAAAGAAAAAAAGTCAGAAAGATGCAAGGTCTTAACAAATAACCGTAATTGATTAAATGAACAAGTTAGCGAAGAATACCTAGGATCTAGACCATAGCTTGAAACAGAATAAAATTGGGGGAAATCATAGGAAAGTTAAAAGATAATAAACAACCCAGAATCAGTACTTGCGAAGAAACCAAAATTGTAACAATTTCAGAAAATTAGGGATTTAAGAAATAAATCAGAAACAACTACCTCTTCCCCCTGGTCCTCCTCCTCGTCCTCGTCCTCGTCCTCGTCATCTTCGCCATCGTCGTCGTCGTCGCCGTCTCCGTCGCCAGGATCGGCACCGTGCTGGACATCACCTTCTTCATCTTCGTCGTCTTCGTCGTCGTTACCGGCGTCAGGAGCATCATCTTCATCGTCGTCTTCTTCATCATCATTGTCGTCTTCATCGTCATCGTCCTCCTCGTCCTCATCGTCGTCTTCATCGTCTTCGGCGTCGTCTACTTCATCCTCGGAATTGTACTCTTCGTCATCCTCACTCAAAACCGTGACCTCGTTCTCCTCAACCTGCTCGCTCAATTCCTCCGTGGCCTTCATCTTCGAATCCTGAAACCAGAAGACGTTCTCCACACCGTTTTAAAATTCCTTGCTTAGCGAAAATCGATCGAAAACCGAGCACGCAAGAATGGAGAAAACAGCCAAGTTACCAGTCTCTTCCCTTCGCTTCCCCCAGCTGCTCTGCAGCGCTGATCTTGGCCGTTGAAACACGAATTCACACGGATCGATGACGTAGCACTCAATCGAACGGTCCATGTAAAAGAATTTGCGTTTCAGCAGAGATAGTGGGATTGCGCCTTGCGGCGCTCGCTACCCTACTTTCACAGTCACGTGTGTCACGTGCTACTGAAATGCGCGAATCCATGGTTAGGTTTAGGGTTTTCTTTTTCGGATCATTCATTCGGATTCCTAGTTCCTACCCGAACCCGTACTTGTTCATATTTTAATTCAATTTCAGCCTAGTTTGGTTTTTTTAGTAAATTTGGTCTTCCATTTTTTATAAAATTTATTTTCAGTATTTTGTATGAAAATTTTAATATTATTATCTACATGATTTTGATTATCTTCTAATTTAATATTTAATAAAACGCTACTATGCTAGTTTTTTTATATATATAGATACGTGACATGTTATTATAGAATAAAACTTTTAGACGTAGTATCATGTATATTATTAATCATTTTTTCAATCGAATTTTATTATCTCATCGTGATGCTTTGTATATCTTTATTAAGTCTCTCTTTTATTAGAAAAAATAAACAAAAAGAGTAAAAAAATAAGAAATGAATAAAGGTAGAGATTGTTTTGATGGAAATAAATAAGAAAGAAATAGAACAAGGAAAATCAACTGAAGATAATGAAAAAAACTATTAAAATTATTTATTTATTATTATAAAAGATTAACTATAAAAAAATAAAGGAGAAAAACAGTCATTATCACACAACCAACCATGTCTTTGAAAATGAACGTCGTTATTACAACCAAACATTTTAGTCCAAACAATTCTATTTAAGGTTAATTCAGATTTTTTAAAACAAAATTAAAATAACAATTCAATTCTTTCTCTTTTTTTCAAATAATTCAATTTTTCTTTTACGTAATCTATAATTCAATTGAAAACAAATTTAATTCAATTCAAATAAATTTAACCAGCCTACTCTTCCCCTCATTTCCTTCCCTCCACCTTTAGCTACGGTTAAATATCAAGTTAATAAATAGATGAAAATTGTTTGATTAAATTACGAAATAAAAGTTTGTAAAAAAAAAGGTTATTAATTTTGATTAACGATAGTATGAATAAGAAACTCAAAACTGCTATTGAATAAAAATGCATGTATAATATATATTATAATTCAAATATTTGGATGAATAATGCTTAAATTTGTTTTCCATTATTAATGTATAATTTATTTTCTCGTAAAAATGCTATTTTATGTTTTATAGCGCATCATATAATGTTTGAAGCGATAAAATTAACAATTAGTGCTTAAATTTAATTCACTTAATCACAAGCTCGGTTTAAAAAAAGTTGAACTTTTGAGTAAAAATTGTTTTTTGTGTTTTTTTGTTTACATGGAAAACTTAAAAAAGAAAAAAATGCACAGAGGAATAAATCTAAAACAACATAGGAGGCAAAACTTGTATTTAAAATTTAATTTAAAATATTGATATATTTTATTTTAGATTCTCTTATCTACTTATTCATGAAAGTTTTATAAGTATTTTTAATATTTATATTTTGACGTCTCTAATATTAGTGATTTAAATATTTTTAATTTAAAATATGTTTTTCAATAAATACAGGTATTATTGATAATTGTTTAATATAAATATGCATGCATTTGAAAAGAAAACATAATCTTCCAATATAAATTAATACTTTTGGTGGAAAGTTATTTTTCATTTACTTCTTGCAATATCATAATTTTATTAAGTAAATCAATATTTTCAATACTCACTATAATTTTAGAAAAATCTCAAGTTAGTGCAATTTCTTTTCAATTCGAACTCATCCGAAAGTTTTCACTTGTTATAGGATTCAAGTAAAAAAATACCTGATTTCCAGTAGATTGACTTTGAATTAAAAAAATAAAAATTGATCTATGTATATAGAATAATCAATATAAAAACAACTTTTAGTTATTACACGTTTAAATCAAACCAGTTAGTACAATATAATTTAACGAGTGACTGTGAAAAACCGTTTAGCAAAAGTCAAATGTCTTGTAGGGAAGGGAAAAACATTTCCACTGATAGAGAAAACCCAACATATCACACAACACAAAATGGGGAATTCAATTTCCGAAACCTAAAACCCGAAGTAGATGCAACACTCAAAGCTGCATCATGCATCATATACACACAAATCTCCAATGCCATCAACTTGTATTAGCCATATAAGAACAGAACTGAAACAAAAAAGCATCTTACAAATTCTTTTTACCATCCTCATCTGATTTGTCACCAGACCTTTTTCTTTTGGGTATAAATGGAAACTTATCCTCGTATGATTTACTTTTATCAGACCTTTTTCTTTTGGGTGTAAGTGGAACATTATCCTCCTGATCACCATCCTCTTCCTCTTCTCCTTTACTGTTCCCTTGTTCATCAAATTTATCATCTTTGTCATCCTCTGCCTCTTCTTTTTTACTGTTATCTTTTTCATCATCATCATCATCATCATCATCTTTCTCATCGTCACTGCTCTCGTGGCTGCTGAAATCCTGTTCTTCACCTTCTTCACCAACATCACTACCGAAAATATCTTCCATTAAGTAGGGATGCTGTTGCAAGTAAATATGTTTTATCATTACAAAAGGTTTTATCCAAACACAATTCACACTTTTAATATCACTTTAAACTAACATCTGTCGTTAACTATTAAATGAGCATGCTAACAAATAATCTAGCTTAGAAATCAAACAAAGCAGGTGAAGATTCATTCATAAACAAAATATATAAATAAATAAGCAATCAAAAACCGAAATCTCCAAAACTATAAAAATTTCATAAAATTAAGTCAACTACCTTTTTTCTGTTTTCTGCCTCATCATCCTCTTTCTCTTTGTCATTGGAGTCATCTTCTTCTTCTTCTTCTTCTTCTTCCTCGTCACTGTCATCATCACTGTTTTTTTTCTCATCATCACTATCGTCGTCGTCGTCGTCGCCATCATCATCGTGGTTTTTCTTAGAGAAAAAACTATTAACCTCGTCATAATTTTCGTCGTCACTGTTTTCTTCTGTGACTGTAAAGCAGTGATTCTTGTCGGGCGGGTCTTTCTGGTTGTTATCTGCGTCTTCATCTGGATCACTATCGAAGAAATGATGGTCATCAGAATCGTCATCGTAGTCATATTGTTCATCATCCTCGTGGAAGGTGGTAACATCGTTTTCCTCCATGGTCTTCATCCTCAAATCAAAATACCTCAGCGACTTCTGCACAAGATTTCGAAAGAAACGCTCCATTAGATTTCAGCGGATATATTGTGATTGAGTTTTTAAATATTGTAACACACGCAAGCTTGCATGCATGCAAACACACACCTTAGTTAAAAGTGTCGTTGAAGGTTGCAAGTTAGTTAAAAGTGTTTAGCATATTAGCTAGTTTCATTAATTAGTATTAGTTAGTTAGTTGCAAATGTGAAGCATATAGTGTGATTCATATTTGTTTAATATATAAAAATATAATAGGTATTAAAAAAAATTAGCAATTAGAATGAGTAATCATGACTAATACATATAGCAATTAAGAACAAAAGTTAAACTTTTAAGATTTTTAAATCTAAACACATTTTGAGTTTCAATAGGCTACGTGTTTGATATAAATTTGAGATTTGTTGTGTGTACATTTGAAAACGTTTAAAACTAATTTACATTTAGTTCATTTTTTAAAACATTCTGAGTATATTATTTAAAGAAATAGTATGAGACAACAAATTAAGAAAAAAATATTATGAGTAAAATAATCGAAAATTAAAAGAACACTATGCATATGTATATCTGTAAACAATTATTATATAAACATATAGAGATGAATAAAAACAATTACACATCGCTAAAAAACAAATGTTCAAACAATTTTTTTCTACTACCTTACATAAAGGAGAAAGAAAAATGAAAAAAATGAGTTCACAATAAAAAAGGCTTCAGTTTCACACAAATGAATATATGTTCTAATAGAAACAGAATTGTATTACATTGCTCTACAAAATGTATTGAATACTAATTTTATATAAAATATAATAAAATAATATAAGATAACAAACCGAGAAAACACTACAAGAAAAAAACATTTTAGCGACCGAAAAAATCGGTCGCTAATGCCCAATAATCGGTTGCTAATCAGTTAGCGACCGAAATGCGTAGTCGCAAAAAGCCTAGTCGCTAATGTGTTAACGATCGATTTTCATTTCGGTCGCAAAATAGCGACCGATTTTATTTCGGTCGCAAAATAGCGACCGAAATTAATATATCAAAGTGGTCGCTAATTCGGTCGCTAAATAGCGACCGAAATGAAAATCGGTCGCTAAATAGCGATCGAAATGAAAATCGATCGCTAAATCAATAACAAATTTAATTATTTTTATTTATTTACATTTTTATTATATTATATTATTTATTTTCCCTACCTCTTAATTATATTATATTTTTTAGAAGTTTAACTACTTATTATTAGGTGATTTATTATCATTGTCAGGATTCGAACCGGTACCTTAGAGTTGGAGGCTGAAACTCCAACCATCGAGCTACTTAGGATCTTTTAATAATAACTTACAAATAAATTATATTTATATACAAATAAATGTATATCCGTATAAATATATAAATATATAAATATAAAATCTATAAATAAAAATATATTTATATATTTTAATATATATTTAAATATTGATATATTTATATATTGATATATTTATATCTTTATATCTTTATATTTTTACATATATTTATATTTTTATATATTTATATCTTCATATTTTTACATATATTTATATCTTTTCATATTTATATATAAAGATATTAGTTTTCTATATAAATAATATTATAATATAGTATATTATACTATTAGTATAGTATACAAATAATATATTAGTATAGTATAGTATACAAATTATTAATTTTGTAATTTATATACAATGAAAATAATATAATGGTATATTAGTATAGGATAGTATATTTGTATTCTAATTTTTAATTAAATTAAAATTATGCTAATAATGTATATTAATATATGAGGGGATAATATTGATATATTGATATATTTGTATATATATATATATATATATATTATATATTTATATATTTATATATATATATATATATATATATTTATATATTTATATATTTATATATATATATATTTATATATTTATATATTTATATATTTATATATTAATATATTTATATATTAATATTTTGATATATTTATATATTGATATATTGATATATTTATTTATATCCTTATACATTTATATCTTTATATATATTTATATATTTGAAAAAAATATTAAATTTTAAAAATAATATTATATTTTTAAAAATAAATATTAGAAAAAGATTTAAAAATATATATAAATTATATTTACATGTACAAAATATTAAAGATATATGTTTATATCTTTACATATTTATATATATTTATATGTTTATATTTTTACATATATTTATATCTTTCCATATTTATATATTTATATATAAAGATATTAGTTTTGTATACAAATAATATTATAATATAGTATATTATACTATTAGTATAGTATACAAATAATATGTTAGTATAGTATAGTACACAAATTATTAATTTTGTAATTTATATACAATGAAAATAATATAATGGTATATTAGTATAGTATATTTGTATTCTAATTTTAAATTAAACTAAAATTACGCTAAATGTATAATAATATATGAGAGGATAATAAATTTAATCCAATTACTTTTATAAATATATAAATATAAAATCTATAAAATATTAAAAATGATATTATATTTTTAAAAACAAATATTAGAAAAAGGTTTAAAAACATGTATAAATTATATTTATATGTCCAAAATATTAAAGATATCCACATTTAAAACAATATTAAAAAATATTAATAATAAATTTAATTCTTTAAATTTAGTATTTAGAAACTAAAATTATAGTTTCTCTGTTTTTAAAAAATTAAAATAAATATTTAAAAATAAAAATCAAAACTAGTATTATCTTAAATTTATTAAAAGTGTAATTAAATCTCTATTTTCTTAATTTTATTTGTTTCAAACATCTCAATTCTACATTTTTGTAAGTTCTATCATTATATTATCATCCTCATCTCCTCCCATGTTCTACTTTATCTTTACAATAGTCAATATTCTTAACTAATTTATATTTATATTTATAATTTTTTAGTATATATTTAGAAATTAATCAATTCTAATATATTCTTTGAAAAACTAATCAATTCTAATCAATAATTTATAAAACTAATCGATTATAATTAATTATTTGAAAAAATTATCAAATATGATCGATCATTTCGAAAATCTAATCGATCGAAGCAAAAAATCGCTCGAGCGAGACTAGAGTCGCTCAGCGAAATACAACCCGAGAATGCCAATTTTGTGCAGGGCGTTTAGCTTGAGCGATGTTATTTTCGCTTGAGCGAATAACACTTCTAATAGCGGTTAACGCTTAACCGCTATTTAAAATATGATTTAGATAGCGGTTAACCCATAACCGCTATCTAAAATACATTTTAGATAGCGGTTAACCCCTAATCGCTATTATATCCTCTCAATTATAATCGATCATTTCAAGTTATGATCGATCAGAATCTTATTTCGCTCGAGCGAAAGTACTTGTCGCTCAAGCGAAATACAACTCGAGAATTCACAATCTTAAAATATTTTTTTGAATATTATGTTTTTAAATTTGCTATTAGAGAAAACCTTTCAGAATTCAAAATGTTAAATAGTTTTAAATATTAAAATTAACTTTATCAAAAATTAGGAAAAAAAATTTATCCAAAAGAGTTCAAAAATGTATAAGAGTATTCTCAATTTTGAGTTTAATTATATTGTTCATTCTCAAAATAGAAAATTATATTGTAATTATTTTAATTTACATTTTGTGATCTTCTTAAAATTAGCATCAATAACATTAGACTTTACATTTGATTCATACCTAACTAATTATAGATTAAAAGGAAAGTGGTATAACCATGCATTTTACTTTTCTATTTACCTTATTCTTTTAATTATTTTATATAATATTTACCTTATTCTTTTTATTATTTTATATAATAATAATCAAAATATTCACATTCATATGGGCGTTTTCGAAAATAATATTATTGTATTATTGTTAAAATTAGCATCAATAACATTAGACTTGATCTTCTTAATTATATTGTTCATTCTCAAAATAGAAAATTATATTGTAATTATTTTAATTTAATAAAATATAATTTAAATTTTTAATACTAAAATTAAAAGATTAAATAATAATGACTTTAATTGTTTAAATTGAGTATTTAGAAACTAAAATTATAGTTTCTCTGTTTTAAATAATTAAAATAAAAATTAATATCAAAACTAGTATTATCTTCATTTTTTTTGTTTCAAACTTCTCAATTCTACATTTTTGTAACTTCTATCATTATATTATCATCCTCATCTCATCCCATGTTCTACTTTATCTTTACAATAGTTAATATTCTTAAATAATCTATATTTTTAATTATAAATTTCATAAATTAATCAATTCTAATCTATTATTTGAAAAACTAATCAATTCTAAACAATAATTTAGAAAACTAATCGATTATAATTAATTATTTGAAAAAATTATCAAATATGATCGATCATTTTGAAAATATAATCGATCAGAATCGGATTTCGCTCGAGCAAGACTAGAGTCGCTCAAGCGAAATACAACCCGAGAATGCCAATTTTGTGCAGGGACGTTTCGCTCGAGCGATTTTATTTTCGCTTGAGCGAATAACACTTCTAATAGCGGTTAACACTTAACCGCTATCTAAAATATGATTAAGATAGCGGTTAACCCATAATCGCTATCTAAAATACATTTTAGATAGTGGTTAACCCCTAACCGCTATTATATCCTCTCAATTATGATCGATCATTTCAAGTTATGATCGATCAGAATCAGTATTTCGCTCGAGCGAGAGTGGTGTCGCTCAAGCGAAATATAACCCGAGAATGCCAATTTTGTGCAGTAGGCGTTTAGCTCGAGCGAGACCATTGTCAGCTCAAGCGAAATACATTTTACAATATTTTAATCGATACAACTTGATTTTAATCGATTAAAACCACTTAAGGAGTTGAGGATGATCGATCATAATGCAATTATGGCCGATCAAAGCGATTTAATCGATTAAATATCGTTTCAATCGATTAAAACAACTTAAAATTTCTACACAGCGTTTTAATCGATTAAAACTTATTTTTATCAGTTAAAATAACTTGAAAAGTTTTACAAGAAAGTTTTGCGAGTATTTCAATCGATTGAATCGTGAAACAATCGATTAAATCAACTTAGAGGATTTTTTGTAAAGTGTTTTAATTGATATAAATGTTGTCAGTATCAGTTAAAACAAATCTGTTAAAGAATCAAGAACGTATTAATGGATTAAAAGAAGTTTTAACAGATTAAAACTGCACTTTTAACAGATTAAAAGAATCTTTTAACAGATTAATTAAACCAGTAGTTTTGAAAATCTTCTATTAAAGCAGGTTTGGCTTAAACTTTTTTAACATACATTGAATATCATCTTTTACACATCCTTGAGCAATCAATCAAGCAAACTTCAGCACTCTTTTCAAGAAAGATTCGCATCAGTTTTTGAGAAGTTCTTTGAAAATCTTTCTTGAGGCAACTTGATTTCTTTTGAAGAAGAAACACTTACAGTAGAATTGCATAAAGCTGGTTTGAACATTCTAGTTTCTTCTTTTTCATTTCTTTACATTCTTTTTGTATTGTTTGGTGCCTGGAATTTGGGCACTTGGTTTCTCTACAGTTGGAATTTGGTTGTAGAGGTTATTAAGAGACTGGAATTTGGTAATACGGAAAACATTTCGAAAGCAAAATGTTAAATACTTTTAAATATTAAAATTGACTTTATAAAAAATTAGGAAAAAAATTAATCAAAAAGAGTTCAAAAATGTATTATAATATTTTCAGTTTTAGTTTAATTATATTTTTCATTCTCAAGGTATTAAAATATATTGTAATATTATTTTAATTTAATAAAATATAATTTAAATTTTTAATACTAAAATTAAAAGATTAAATAATAATAAATTTAATTCTTTAAATTTAGTATTTAGAAACTAAAATTATAGTTTCTCTGTTTTAAAAAATTAAAATAAATATTTAAAAATAAAAATCAAAACTATTATTATGTTAAATTTATTAAAAGTATAATTAAATCTCTATTTTCTTCAATTTTTTAATATAAATTTTTAAAATATAAATTAATTTCAATTGAAATTTTCAATTGAAAAATAAATTCAAGAATATTTGTTATTAAACTTTTCTTAAACAATGTATTGAATAGTTAACATCACTCTAGTTTTAATTTATTACAATTTAAATTTTTAATAAATTTGATTTATTACAATTCATTTTGTTAATATTGAGACCAAAGTTTATTTTTAAAGTATATTTTAAAAATTAAATTATTTTTAAAAACTAAATTACTTTTAAAAAATAAATTGTAAAAAATATACTAAAACAATTAAAGTATATTTATAAAAAAAAATTAAATATAATAAAAAAATAATATTCATTAGCGATCGATTTCAATTCGGTCGCTATTTTCTCATTAGCGATCGATTATAATTCGGTCACTATTTCAATTTGTAATTCGATCGCTAAATCGATCGCTAAATGATTTTTTTATTTTAGTGTGGAATAGCCATCGATTTAGCGATCGAAATTTTGCGACGCAAATTATTGGTCGCTATTTCGATCGCTAAATAACAAAATGAAAATCAATTCATATTTTGGTCGCTAAATCGGTCGCTAATTGCGACCGAATTAAAGTGGTCATTGAATCGATCAGCTAATTGCGACCGAATTAAAGTGGTCGCTAAATCGGTTGCTATTTGCGACCAAAATTAAATCGATCACTAAATCGGTCGCTATTTACGACTAGAAAAAAATATTAATTATTTGGTGACATAAACGAGCAAAAGAAGGAAGAAATTGAAGACATAGAAGTGAAGACACTAATTATATATGTCTAACACCTAGATTAAATAAGAAAAAGAAAAGTTACATTATCTTAGGTCGGATTTATCAAACCTCTTATTTCGAACAAGAGAAAAGAGATTTACTTTACTTACATAACTTATTTTTTTTCAACATAACATAAATATGAGAAAAATAAGTAAATTGAGTATATATCTTCCCAAATGTAATATTTCATTATTTATATATGAGATATAGTAACGGTAACACTTCAAAATTTACACTAAAAAAAAATTGTTTTTATTGACTGATTATGTCCGTCGGATCATGATAATTTATAAAAAAAATTATAAGTTATTGGCAGATTATCGATAAATAAAAATTTACAGAAAATTTTGTTATTAGAAAAATATTATTGATAGATTAAATTAGTTCGTCGTTAATTACAAATAGATTCATCTATAAGTGTTGTATTTTTAATGACATTTACCGGATAAATTCATCGTTATTTATTGATAGATTTTAAAAAATTATTATATCATTTAAATTGAAAATATTATATCAAAACAATTAGTACTAATATAATATTAATATGACATAAATAAAATTATAATTAAAATAATGATATACAAATATAACTATAATTATAATTATATACAATGATTTATATTATAAAGAATATTATGTAATAAATCATATTAAAAGGACATTAAAAAAATTCTAATTTATCATTTTCTTAAAATAAAAGCAGATATACACAATCATTAAATATTAAGATTCTCTCTTCTTCATATGATGACACATAAAAAGAAAAACACAAGACAGAATATTATAAAGAACATAATTAAAAACCAAATGTATTGTTTATAATCTTATCAAGGAAAAAAATTCAATATTACATTACATTATATATATCCTTTAAACCTTACACCACAATAAATTTTATAATTAGTTAGAAAAATTTACTACAAAATTTATTTTTCATAAATTTGTAGTTAATTAGCTATGGAATAGTGAATAAATAAAGTTGTAACTAATTTGTAGTAAAATAGTTATGGAATAGTGAAAAAATAAGATTGTAGCTAATATATAGTAAAATAGCTAGAAAACTAATATTTTTGTAACTATTTCCCTCACTTAGCAGAAAAATAATTTAGTTAGAAATTTTTTTGTCACTAATTCCTCGCTATAAATATTAGTTATGTTACTTTTTGAAGCTAATTCCTAGCTAAATTGTGTAATATACCATCATAGCTAAACTGTAATAAATTTATAACAAATTTCAAATTGAAAAAAAATTAAATTGTTGGGAATCATTTTTGTAAATTATTTTAGTTTTATAAAAAATTATTTACAAAAAATACTTGTAAATTTCTCTAAAAATATATAATTATAAAAAATAATTTTTTATCTTTTTGAAAAAATATCAATAAAAATTAATTACAATTTTTTCTTAAAAAATTATTTCTACCAAATTTATTATAAATATAAATTATATATATAAATTTTTTTTATCTAAAATAAATTATTTGGAAATAATTATAATTTTTTTAAATAAATATCTAAAAAAATTGATAAATATTTAAAATTATTTTCTGTAAATTTTTTATAAATTTAAATTTGTTGGAAGTGTTTAATAATATTTAAATTAATAGAAAATTTTATAAATAATATTTTTTTATAATTTTTTTAAAAACTGTTCTTTATAAAAAATAAAAAAATTATTATATTTAGAAATACTAATTTATCTTTTTTTTTATAATTCTTTTAATAAAAATCCTAATTAATCTTTTTCTCATGTTCTTCATATATCCTTTTCTTCTAAAACCTAACTGACGCTACAGCTGTCATCGCTCCCACGTCGTTCTTACTACCGCTCCTGCACCGTTCTTGCTTCTGCTCCCGTTATAATACGGAACCTGAGGTTTAAGAAAACACTTTACCTTTTTTATTCTATTCTATTTTCTTCTCTTCTTCCCTAGGGTTTTAACGCTAGAGTTTCAATGTTCACTCTCTATTTTTCTCTCTCATTCTGTTTCTCTTTCTTTGGGCATAGCCATGGATAGGTACCAGAAGGTGGAGAAGCCTAAGCCCGAGTCTCCAATCAACGAGAATGAGATCCGAATCACAACCCAGGGCATTATTCGCAACTATATCACCTACGCCACTTCGCTTCTTCAGCTCCTTTAATGTTCGATTACCTTTCGTGAGAAACCTTTGCCTTTTGTGCGGATTGGGGTTTTCATTCAGGATTGCATTTTCGGGCTTTGAGACTTAGTTTTGTTTATTTGTTTGTTTGTTTGTTTGCTAAATGCTAGTAGTGTGTGGGGGTTGGATTGGCAGGGTTTGGTTTGTGATATGTGGCATTTTGTATTTTTGTTTGTTTTCGTATGACCTTTGATTTTGGAAACTCTTTATTTGCGATAGAAAATGTTTTATGTGGGTTGAGTATTGAGATTGTCTCCTTAGTTTCTGGATTCAAAGCTAAAGCACCAGTAACATGTGGAGTTCAAAGCAATGAGAATAGACTTTTCTGAAGAGAACCAAATAACATGAACTGCATAATCACGGAGTACCTCTTTCTTTTGTTACTTTTTCCCCTTGGCTATTAAGCTTATTTATTTATACAACAATTATATAGGCCTTTTTGCTTCCCACTTGGCATATTTATGTGATGTTGGGTTGTATTTTATCTCAAGTTTATTGAATGAAAACAATCAGCCGCATGATCGCCTTACGCACGACTTTTAAAGATTTCATTTAGTAATATTGAATCTGTCAGCGTTAAAATTTACAAACTAAAGCAGTTCATTGATTGAGAGACATTCATTTCTTCACCCTTCTTGTAAATGCTTCTAAATTAAAATAGATATGAAATTAAAAATTTAGTTGCGAGTTAATAATTTGTTAAACCGGAAGCAATAATATAATCAGGAAAAGAGAAAGAGATAAAGAAAAGAAAAGAGCACACATATATTATACTGATTGGGGTATAGTTAATCCTACATCTAGTTCTTAGTCAATTCTTAATACAAGAGTGACTTTTCATTCATTATCTTTCAAATTCAGTTTACAAATTACAATCAACTTAGCAGAAGAACCAGTAAAAAGTTAATTAATTAAAAAGACAATCACCTCCTTAGAAACTCACTAAGGATGAACACCTCCCTAGAATCCCACTAGGGATGAACACCTCCTCTGAACAAATTAAAGGATAAAAAACACCTCCTTAGAACTCCACTAAGGATGAACCCCTCTCTAGAATCACACAAGGGATGAAAAACACATTTTTTTCCACCAATGCAAAAAGGATGAAAGTAATAAAAATAAGAACGAGACACACCTGGGTAATGGAGACAACAAATTGTAGAAGTCTGTAGAATGTCAATTTCCAAGAACAAGTGTGATTAACAATGAAAGCACAGAAGACAGTAGAAAGAGGGTTTTCTCAAAAGGTGTAAAATATCTCGGTTGCCTTGCTCAGAATTCTTTTTTCAAAATTGATTGAATGTAAATTATATTTTCGAATTCTGTAATTGTGTGTTTTTTATTTTTCATCAAAACTTAATTAAATAGAAAAATAACATCAGAAAATGACCGTTGGACATTAATAATATCATAGAAAAATCAGGATGTATTCAAAAACATTTATTCTTTAAAACGGATATATTTTTCAAATTTGAATTGTCATAATTGATTATATTACCAATATAATTAATTATGATAGAGAAAATCATTTTTCCATTTCTGGTGCATCATAATTAATTATGACAGTGAAAAATATCATGTTATGAATTTTATCACACTTGTGCTTTGGAGACTTATGCATAATATTACTTCATCAACTTGTACCTTCATATCCAGTATTCTAAGACTTTATCTAGTCTTCAGGAATCATCTTGGGCTTACTTAAATTATCATCTTTATCACCTACGTCATAAATTCAGTTTGTCCTTAAATTCATCTTGAATGGTGTTGACTTGAATGTAGTTGACTTGAATCATCATCAAAATCATCTCTTGGAAATGCAGGAACATTTTCATCAATCTCTCCCTCATTGCTTTCAATCATTTCCATCACATGTCCTGTATTCATGACTCAGTGATATCGATATTTTCTGGTGAAGTGAAACTTTTAAGAAAGTATTACGTTAACATTGATTGAGATTATAGAAAGATTTTTTTCATAAACAGAGATTCTAAGTCATATTCTTTTTTGGTGACACAATGTTAAATCATACTAACATGTTCTCCCAACAATACAATTTATGGGACTGCATTGAGAGTTATTGCAGGTATCATGTATGCTGGAGCAGCACTTAAAGATTGAGAAGGTGAGTAATTTGGAGCACAACTTCCAATGGTTGGGTCATTTGGTGCCACTATTTCTACCTGTTTTGCACTTGGGTCATTTGGTGCTACATAAAAATTCCCTTCACTTAAAATGGTTGGGTTAGCACTACCTCCTATAACATACATTTTCTACTACCAAATCTTACCTTCCATTTTCATCCAAGTGAATACAGTATTTATTTCTATCGAACATGCAAATTCAATCCATAGAAAAATCACTCTTACCTTAGCATCCTTTCAGTTAGGCCACTAGCAAACTGGTTGAAGGCTATTGTTACTTTAATTATTTTACCCCTTGTGAATTGGTCATTGTGTCCTAGCAACATAACCTGCAAGCACGTTTCCTCACTCAAATATTATGTTCTCTAAAAACATATGTACCCAAATTCTAAGAAGGGGGACAGGTAGCAACGTGGTTACTATGGGTTTGCATAATTTAAAATGATCCGAAGATGCATTTTAGATGTTGAAACATGCGACTATAATTGCTGATTGGAACAAACTATACTTGGTGGTTTATGATATGATAATAATTGTACATGCATAATAAACTACGAAAGAGGATTGTTTAACACACCTTTTTCTACTAGCAGTTTGATTAAAATTTGTTAAAAATTACAAAAGCATGAAAGTATTAAATAAGAAGTGAATCTTGCTAAAATTTATAATTTGCAACAAGTTTTAGTCTAAATAGAAAGTGTATTGCTAATATTCTTTAATTATGAAAATATTGAAGTAATTTTTTACTATTTATCTTTGGGTTTATTGGATTATTTATATACAGATACCCTGCTTTGATTTCCGTAAAAAACTCAAGATATATTAAGTAGATAACAAATATGTGTTTCTTTCTTCCCTTAATAAATGAAAGCCAGCCACATAAGTTTATAAAGAATTAAATTGGGGAAAAACTTTTCATACATCACAACACTCGAACATTTGTGAGTTTTTGGCTATCCACACATAGATTAAGATTTTTCCATTTCCAATTTGAAGTTATACTGTTCTTTATAACTTACTACTAATGAATAGGGTTCTAGAATCAATAACTTCACTGAAAATCTTCCTCCACACCTTGGAAACCTTTCTCGCGTTAAAAGATTGTAAGCTCTGTATTATATCCTACTTGATTTATTTTATTTAACTTTGCTGCTGAATTATCAAGATACAATAGAGAAAAAAAATCATGAGATGATATTTCAATATCGGTTACATATTATGATATTATTGTATATGAGTTTTTAATTGATATTGGGAGAAAATTCTTATCATATTCCCTCACATTAAAAATATTTTTTCATAAAAACTTTTCCATTTTTTTAAAACTTTTATCTAGTTACAAATGTTATTACTTTTAAATAATTATTATAAAAAATCATAAATATTTATCCCAGAAAAACTACATCCCAAGGATTTTACTATCTTAAATATTAATGTTATGAACAGATCCATTCATTCTATTATGTTAAATTTTATTGTGCCTATAGAACCAATAAAGGTTCCACCATATTTTATCATAGGTTGTAATGAAGTGTTCACCATCATTGGACAGTTAGAGTTCTTCTATGAGCAATCCTCTCGATGCCATGAGAAACACATGTTCAGCTCTCCAACTCCTCACTGTTGCATTTGGATCATACTTAAGCTCTTTGCTTATAACGATTGTGGCAAAGGTCACTACTATGATGGTGGTCCGGATGACTATTTGACAAATTAAACTATGGTCACCTTTATTATTTCTTCTTGCTATTGACGAGTGTTAAGTGTGCTATTGATGCAAGCACAAACGAAGACACAAACAGAAATGTAAACACTTATGCAATAATAAATGCAAGAAGAAATGCAAGAAGAAATGCAGTATTTCAAGAAAGATTTATTATCTGTTTTAGAGAAACAATGATTAAAATGTACTTTAAACTTTGTTTCTATTTTTAAACGTGTTATATAGAACTTTTTAGTTGAAATATTATTTTTGTTATGTTTTAATTGTTAGAAACATTATTTTAATTATGTTTAAACAATATTTTTATATTGAAAGTTGATAAGTTAGTCTTCTTTTTTCAAGAATATGAGTAATAATTTAAATGTTAAACATTTGATATTATAATATTATGATGATACATTAGTAGGAATATTTATTACGCTAATAAAATTACGAGATATTAGTTACGGATTAGCAAGAGATTAACTACAGATTAGCAAGAAAATAATTTTGGTAATAATTGTAAAGGATTAACTATGACTTAGCGAGAGAAATATTGTGAAGGATTAACTACGGATTAGCGAGGAAATAATTGCGAATAGTTAACTATAGATCAGCTAGAGATAAATTGTCAGGGATTAGCTACATATTAGCGAGAGAAAAATTGCGACGGATTAGCGAGAGAAAAATTGCAGGGGATTAACTACAAATTAGCGATAGAAAAATTCCGAAAGATTAGCTACGAATTAGTGATAATGAAATTGTGAGGGATTAGCTAGAGAAAATTTGCGAAAGATTAGCTACAAGTTTTCGGAGATCAATTAGCTAGAGAAAAACAAAAAATCATCACTTGAATTAGCGAGGGACTTAGCGACAGATTGACGACAAAATTTGCTATAGATTTGGGAGAGAATACATCTCTATCTAATTAGCTACTTGGATTTAGTTACGAACTATTTCAATCTGTAACAAAACATACCAGCGAGAAATTAGCTATAAAATAGCTACGAAATGTGTCATAGTTAATATGTAAAATTCTTGTAGTGTTAAAACATAATATTAATTGGACTAAAGTAAAATATGTAAAAGGAGGATGATAAATTGAAAATTTAAATACAGAAAAATAGGAAGGACAATTGGATCAATTAATTCAGCTAAGATATCATATAAGTTAAGGTTTTGTGCTACTATTTTTCTAAAAATAATTTCTACAATACACATTTAAAATCTAGAATACAGTAAATGAAATTGGAATCCACCAGAGGATTGATAAAATTTTAATACTATAATTGAATATAATTAAATTTAATGAGTTTTAGTTATACTTGAAAATTAAACTATTCCATTCAAATTCCATCTTTGGGAAGAAAGTAGACAAATTTATTAAAATAATTTCAGTCCATAAATATAATTCATTCTCAACTTGGTAAATATAAAAATACAATGTCAGACAAAAAAATCAATTAAAGAGAATGTTATTAAAATAAGAAATTACACTTTTCGATAATTATTCTAGAGCTAAAAATAAGAATAATATGAATAAAAGATCAATAGAATTATATGTAATAATTTTTAAATACAATATATCATATTATAATATTTTGGTAATAATTTAAATATTTTTAATAACATACTCATTTATTTGTACAAAAATTAAAATTATTAAATATGTATAATAATAAAAATGATAATAATTAATAATCAAATAATAATAATAATTTAAAAAATAATTATTAAATATTTTAAAATTATTTAATTAATTAAAAAGAAAAAATAAGATATTTTACTTTAAAAAATATAAGATAAAAATAAAATAAAATAATAATAATAATAACCTTGATCTATTTATTATTTTATTTTTATTTTTAAATACGTATTAGTTATCTTTTATATTTATTTATTTATATAAAGTTACACATCAATTTTATTTTATATTTATTTATTTATCTCAAATTAAAAAATATCCTATTTTATATTTATGTATCTTTTGTTATGCATTATTTTTATTTTATATTTATTTATTTATCTTTATTAATTTATATTTATTTATATTTAGCTATACATTGATTATTTTTTATATTTATTTATTTTCAACTCTAATCCTCATTTATATTTATTTATTTTCAATTATACATTTTTTTTTATTTTATATTTTTTTTGACATATTTGTCTTTATTTATTAATTTATATTTATATTATTTTTTTTAAATAATACCTATGAAGATTTTATGATATTATAAATTGAGGTTTGATATTGGAAATTGAAAAGACTAAATATTACTTAAAAAATATTAATTTTAGATTTATTTATTCAAACTAGTTACTACATATATAATTTAAATCTTTATAATATAAAATAAATAAAATATGTCCATGAAATTAAAAAGTTAGTTTTATATATTATTTTAAGATAACATTATTTTACATTTTACTATGTTATAACTAAAAATATTAATTTAAATAAATGAAGTCATTAAACTAAAAGACAAATATCATTAATAAATCAACTATAATTTTAATAATTATTTATTATGTGAAAACAATGTAAACTTATAAAATTTATAATATAAATATTTATTTTATATCTTATTTTTATCAAGATTTAATAAAAATTAATTATATCTTAAAATATAATTAAATTATAGGTACAACCATTAAATACTAAGAAGATTATACATAAACGAGTAGAGTTTGTTTTTAAAATATTACATAATGATAAATCTAAGTATGCATAATTTTAAATAATAAGTATTTAATTCAATAAGTAAGATATTATAAATTTAATACTTTATTTAACAAGAAATAAATAATACTAAAAAATAATTTTTAGATGTACAATTTTTTTCAATTTATTATATCGATTTACCAGATAAAAAATTATCACTTCTCAAGTCGACTTATTTTAGGTTAATTCTTAACATAAACAACGTAATAAATAAATATTATTCTTATATGAATTTTTATATAATAAGATATGTAATAATGATATAAATAAATTTCTCTAAAAAACAATTTATTACAAGAGAAAAATATTTTTTTAGTTTATATATATATATGTTCAAATTATTTATATAATAAAATTTATAAATTATATGAACAGTGAATCTTATACAACCATACCTAAACGTGAAACTGAAAACTCATGAGAGACATGTCATGTTCTGACCACACAGATAATCACCATTTTGGCCTTTTGATCATAATATGTCACATCATGGATCATCCAAGTCAATATTTTTGCTGAAATGAGACACCTTTTATCTTTATGAACTGTGATAGAACCACACATTGAGAAAAAACATAAGAAAATGCAAAGACTTGATAGTTTGGTGTGCACAGAAAATGCATCATGCATGAACCAGAAGTAGTGAATTACAAGGAAAGAAATTAAGCAAGAAACCCTGCGTTTGCAACCATTGTGTGTGCAACTATCTGATTCTAGCTGTTCTTTCCGTTTTAAAAACACAAAACCTAACACCATGGCTGTCAACTCATAGCTCAATAATGGCCTGGCAGAAAAGCACCAAACATCAATGCTGATTGGATTCAATCTATTATTAGGGTTAGGGTGAGTAATTAATTTCACTTAGAATTTTATAACTGTAAATATTAGCTCTCTTTCTATAAACTTTTATTAAGAAATCAATTAATAATGGTTTTATATTTAAATAAACTTAATTTTTAAAAAATAGCAGACAAAACATAAAATACAAATATTTTAAATAATCAGTCCAATTTTGCTTAAAAAAAAACAGTTTTCTACTTTTTTACAATAACTTAAAAAAAAAAAAAACACAAACAGTTAGATTATACCATCCAACTTATTCGTACCCACCCGTCTCTATATATATAAACTAGGTATTTTTTAATTAAAAATATTTGTAACGCTTTATAATTAAAAAAAATACTATTTTATTTTTTGTTGTAAAAGTTACATATGTTTAATTTAATTAATATTTAGTTTTCATTGATACTATTAAAAGTTAATGTATTTTTAGTCTCAAATGAGTTTTAATTATACGTTTATAGCGAAAAGTAAACCATGACATCTCTCAATTTCTTAAAGATATCCAAGATAAATATTTTTCATCATAAAATGAATATTAGAGAAAAAAAATGATAATTTTAGATTTTAAAATATGAGATTTAAAGAAAAATATATTATATAAATTAAAATTACAATTTACTTATTTTATAGGCGCCAAAAATAATAAAATTTAACTTTAAATGATGAAAGATATTTTTTTATATAGAATAAAATAAAAAAATAATTCATTTATATAAACTAAAAACATATTTAAAATAAAACATTAATATTAATATATTAAAAAATGATTAAATAGATGTATAATGAAAGGAAATGTTTAAATTAATGTGCCTATGAGGAATTTATGCAGAAATATATGTTGTAGGTGAGGTATACACACATATTGAACTTACTTTCTACCTAACTATTCCGTGGATGTATAAATATATATGTTTTAAAATAGTAGAATTTTATGCCAATATCACCCATTAATTATCATCTTAATTTCAAATAATGATTATCTCTTCAGCTTTATTAGGTTAAGTTTGGGGGAATCCACAGAAAAAAATATATATTTGTCTAAAAAAAAAAGCTTACTTATTACCTAACAAGTATCAATCTATACACTATTTTAAAATATAATTTTCCTTTTAATAATTTTCTTAAAGGTATTAATTACTAAATTATTCCAAGTTCTTCTATAATTTACTCAAATAGCTAAAGATTTATGATAGATTTGAGATAAAATTACTCCAAAACTAAAAATATGAAAAAAAAATTATAAAGTGCGACTGTGTGAAATATATATGTGTATATATATATATATATATATATATATATATATATATATATATATATATATATATATATATATATATATATATATATTATAACATTAGTTGAAACAAAGTATTTTTCTTAAGTTTAATAACTCTATTTTAACCATAATTAAAAAAATTAAGGTCACCATTAAAGTGGGTTTCACAACAAAAAAATTCAAATAACTATTATTATAAATGTTATTTAAATTATTGTTGTTTATTTATTTTAAAATATAAAGTAACTATAATAAATTTATTTACTTATTTTAATAAAATATTTTAAAAAATATTTCCTGCTTAATTTTCTCTCTCTCATACGTATTAACCCTATGATTATAAATTAATAACTATAGTTTTTTTTAACTTTAACTTTTCTTTTTTAAAAATTACATAAATTATTTTTTTATTTTATAATAGTTATGATAATATTATATTTTTATTTTATTTATTGTTTTATTTATAATCAAATAATAAAATTAAATTAAATCATTATATTCGAAAAAAAAACTATTTACAATTATTTATAAAATCAAGTTTTTGTTATCAAGATATTTATGAAAAAAAGACTTGAGATGATTTAAATTTTATTTACTTATTTAAAAGAGAAAAGTTAAATAAAATAAAAATTAGAAAAATGTTAAGTTGAGAAAATAATTAATATTAATTGTTTGGTACAGTTTTATGCAAGAGTTTTAACTGTGTTAATTTAATACTATAGTGACGTTAGAATCATCTTTTTAATAAATGTGACTGTGATCCTTTTAATATAAATTTTTTTTTTAAATGTACAAAATATTAAGTTGTACTCAATTAGTTATACCAATTTTGAGTTGTTTATAAAGAAAGTTGTCAATAATATATTAATGTTTAAATTTATAGTTTTTTTTTTGGAAACATAGGTTTGATAATTCTAATATTGTATTTGGTAGTTTGTTGTTGTTTTTTCGTGCAAGATGTCTAAGGTCATAAAAGAAATGAGTTGTGGGAACACTATAAAACGTAATAATCTTATTTATTTTCATTACTTATACGTAATTGAGAGAGAAAAAACATTTTTAATCTAAATAGTTATCTTTAGTTTAGAATCACTCTAAATAATAAAATGATCCAATAAATTTTTAATTTAGTTTTGAAATCGATTTTTTAAAATTAATTACTAAAACTACTTTTAAAAATTAAAATACAAAATCAAATCAAATAAGTATTTTTTTAATAATTTTAAACTTTGGAAGAATAAATGTCTTAATTTTTGATATCTTGCTTGAGAAAAATATAAAATATATTAAACTTAATTTAATTTAATATTTGTATTTATTAAGGGGAGAGGTGAATGGTGCAATGCAACATTGCATTTGTGCTTTTTAGCACTTTCCTTTATAAAATAACTATTATTAATTTATTATTATTATTGTTATTATTATTCTATTCTATTGTTACCACTTGCATCTCATCATGCACTCCAAGCCAATTGTTACGTGCAAAAACAGCTGCAAATTAACATCACAAATATTTTTAATTAAATACCTTTTTAAATTTATGGTTAAAATATATATATATATATATATATATATATATATTTTAAGAAGAACTATTCAACCTTTATAATATTTTTAATGACTTTATTGGACAAGATAAAACTCATATCAGTAAATTTTACGTCAAAAATTAATTTATGAGATATTTTTTGGGTAAAAAAACATGGAAATTAAATTGATTTTATATTATCACATATATTATTATTATTAGGAGTGAGTTAACAGTGCAATACAACCATGCATTTATGCTTTAGCACTTTACTTTCTAAATTATAAAATTACTACTTGGATTATGAGCCAATCATTGCATGAAAATAGAGCCGTAAATTAACATCACCAACATTTTTAATTGACAACACTCTTTTCTTCATATAATAATTAAGATATACATAGTGGAAGAAAAAGATCATACAGTGAATTTGGACCATCAAAATAAAAGGTTATTTAAGTCATTCAAGTTTAAGAAAAAGGCAAAGTTAATTAAAATTTTAAACAAAAAATTCCATCAATTTAAAATCATTAATTTTTTTTTGTAATTAATAATTATAAGGATCTTTGTGTAAATTAGGATTGAATTTGCAAGCCATTAAGTCAAAGTTTATCGAGTCAACACATATCGGTGGATATTTACTGGCTGAAATCAAACTTGAATGAAGATGATAGTTGCATGTTTTTTTATTTTAAGTTGTGAGGAAAAGTAGGTTTGAAAAATACGTTTAAAAAACGCATAAATATAATAAATTTCATAACATTCTTTTACCCCCATTTAACTGACATATCCAATTAACATTAATTTTTTTTAATCTTAAAAAAATATAAAACTTAAGAATTTATAATATAACATCATTTTCCGAATAATTTTTTATTTATTTTATTTTATTGATTTTTTAATAAATTTTTAAAAAATTATTTTCTCTTTTTATTTATTTATGTATTTATTTATTTAAATTATTGGATAAAACAATTATAAAAAAGTTAAATAATTTATCATATCTTAAAGAATTAATACTTTATTTAAATATTTTAATAAATAACTTTCATTAGTCTTCAATAAATTTATTGTTATTTAAATAGGTTAAGAAATAACTTTCATTAGTCTTAAAAAATTTATTTTTAAATTAATTTAACATTAATTTCTTTGAAGTCAATAACTTAATTTATTATTAAATATATTTATTTATATAATAATAATAATAATAATAATAATAATAATTTTGCCCCTTCAATTTAATAATTCTTAAATATATTTATAATTATGGTCCCTTTTGAATAAATATTAAAATAAATCATTAATATATATTAAATAATTTAAATAAAAAATATTTTATATTTTGACGTTTTTTTATACTTTCATCTTTTCAAATAAAATATTATTTAACCTACTAAAATGATTGACGAAGATGCCCCACGCGAACCGGGAAAAGTAAAGGGAGAGGCATGTCCAGAGCATGAGCACCTGACTATAAATGGGCTTGCAACATTCCATTGTGTGGAATCAAGCTACTGTGATCACCAATCTGTGTTAACAATGACAAACATGAAGCCCTTGGTTCTCTGCTTCTGTCTCCAAGCCATTGTTGTTATGATTACAATACCAGTAAGCCACTGCAGAACCTTCCTTCCAAACAATGGAAACCTGATAGACAGCACCTGCAAGAAGACCCCCAACTACAATCTTTGCCTTCAATATCTCAAGGCAAGCCCTGGGAGCTCCAGTGCTGATGTCTCAGGGCTGGCTCTAATCATGGTCAAAGTCATGAAAGCCAAAGTAAACGATGGCTTGAAAAGAATCCATGACTTGCAAAAGGGGGGAGCCGGACCTAACCTAAAAAAAGCATTGAGTTCTTGTGCTGATAGCTACAACTCAGTGTTGACAACTGATATTCCAGAAGCCACTGAGGCTCTGCAGAAAGGGAACCCCAAGTTTGCTCAAGATGGGGCTAATGATGCTGCTAATGAGGCTAACTACTGTGAGGAAGATTTCTCTGGGCATTCTCCTCTCACCCAACAGAACAATGCTTTGCATGATTCTGCTGCTATTACATCTGCTATTATTAGATTGTTGCTCTAGATTTTCTACTTCCTGAAACCTGTGCTTCATTGTATGTTGGAACTTGGTGTTAACTGTGTGATGTAGAAGTACTGGTATCTATTCTAAAGCTCTAATAATATGTTATATGTAATAAAATCCAAACCTCTCGTGATTCTCACGAGTTTCCCAAACGCTTAATTTGCATTGTTACAAGTATCATTCTTGCTTTTTACTTTCTGATTTTCAGTTAAGATTTTGATATTTGCTTTTGCTTTTGCTAATGGTTTTAAGAAACGGTTTGCTATCATCACGGTTACAGCTTTTCAACGTCTTCGGTCTCTCTGATCTTTGCTTGGACAAACCTTTTCTAAAAAGAAAAAAACAAGGATTTTTTTTTCATATTAAAATCAGTTTATAAAAATAAAAATTTAGAGAAAAAATTAATGAAAAAAAAATTACAAATAATTTTTTATATAATTCAATTTTAATTTATAAAGAAGTTAAGCTTTTTTCTCCTATAAAAGTTTCTCCAAATACTGCACCACAATTATACATAAATACTACAAACTAATCTGAAACAAAAAAAAAAAGTTTACTTTTTCACAGTTGTTTCGGAAACCTTAAACATTAGTAGTGAAACCTTAAACATGTCCTTAATATTATTAGTAAATGACACATCCTGTCATGTATGTTAACAAAAAGAGAGAGCAATGTACACCATGACATTTCAATTATTGGTGATTGAGGATAGGCATTACTTGTATATTGTTCTTGTCTATGTTTTTTTCCTTCCCTCCTCTCTAATGCATGTCTTATTCTTCTTTGGTAATGGTGGGGTAGCAAGAAGTGATAAGGATAAGTAAGGAAAATTAATCTGTGGGTGTGGCTTGTCCTTTTCTGGTGATTGTTGGTGTTTTAGGCTGGTTGGAGATTATGTTCAATCTCATCATCCAAACACGGCTCTTCATTATACCCTCTATTGGGGGGAGGGTCAGATTTGATCACTCTAAAGAGACACCACACCTCAACAACCTTTCACTTTGCCCTTCTTGTTACGACAATCGCTCACCACCTTGGTTTCCATTCAAATGGCTGCCACGTTATGAACAAATGCTGAATTTTTACGATGATTAAGTCCTTATTGGCAGATTTGGTCTATAAGTTAGGTCATATTCGTTGAAAGAAAAAAAAAACATCATAAAATCATCTTTATTGAACCAATTTGATAGAATATGACATAATTAAGATAATTTTAAACAGTTTTTTCATAATTAAAATAAAAATTCTTAATTTTTAAAATAAAACAATGTAATTTTTAAGATCTAATAAATTTCTTATATTTTAAAAATGCAATCATGTAACACTTCATAGTTCAAAAATAAGTCAGCCATAAATATTTTTAATTTTATTCCTAGGAAAGGTAGGAATAACTAGAACAAATTCATGTTCTCTGTTCCTAAAGTAAGACAAGGAGACCCACAAGCGCGATCATTTTCGTGCACGGCACAGCCTCTAAAGTACAAAAGGGAGGTGTCAAGAATTTTCAGTTCTGAGAAGACGTAGGTCCATCCCCCACATCATCTTTCTTCTCATTTTCTAAGGCATGAAGACACTATCTCTTATCTTCTGCACTCTTGTTATGGCAACAATTTCAATGCCAGCAGGCACTAACTGCAGAGTCATACAGCAAAACAAGGCCAATCTGATTGAAGAAACTTGCGAGCAGACACCCCATCGCGATCTTTGCATCCAATACCTCTCATCTGACCCTCGCAGCACCGATGCAGATGTCACAGGGCTAGCTCTAATCATGGTCAAAGTAATCAAAACCAAAGCAAACAAAGCCTTGGACAAGATCCACCAACTTCTTCAGGAAAGCCCTGAACCTGGTCAAAAGGAAGCACTGAGTTCGTGTGCTGATAGATACAAGGCAATTCTGGAAGCTGATGTGGCAGTAGCCATTGCTGCTCTGCAGAAAGGAAACCCCAAGTTCGCAGAAGATGGTGCGAATGATGCTGCTATTGAGGCCACCTCTTGTGAAAACAGTTTCTCTGGGAAATCGCCACTCACTAATGAGAACAATGCTATGCATGATGTTGCAGCCACAACAGGAGCTATAGTTAGACAACTGCTCTAGTTACGTACTCAAACCAATGATGCAGTTTAGTGTTTATAATACCATATTAACCATACTATATAATCATATATTATTATAGTATGTAGTTTGTATGGTGTCCAATAAAAATGCTATTAAAACATATAGTCCTGCACTCTTGTTAGTCTCATCTGTTTTGGAAAAACACAATTGTTTTTGGCACTTTCAGAATTTTCACTATCCCCTCTCCTCTGCTTTATCTGTTTCTGTTTTTCATTTGTGTTGATCAATTATTGGAAAATAATGGACAGAGCTTGGATGAGTACCATGTGATGTGATATGTCTGTTTTTTTCCTTCTACTTTCTTCTAATGTATAAACTATTTAGTCTTTTCAACAAGTGTTTGTTAATCAGATCCTTGATATTTTGATAAAAACAGTTTGATCCTGAATGAAGTTGTTACTGACATTTCAACACATCTATTCACACCCCTAGCTTTTCTTTTATTATTTATATTCTATTTTCCAAACTTGCTATTTAAGTATTACTATTGGAAAACCATACAATATTAGGTGGTAGGTTTGATGGTTCCCAATAAAATCATACAGTTATTGGAGAAAGGCACATAAGAAACGTTATTACGTTTGCTTTAATTTAAAGTATTTTCTGCTACATGTTCATATTTTGTGACAACTGAAAAAAAAGGTGGAGCTGAAGCAGTTAATGGCTTTAAACAGTGCTTAGAAAACTTAAACTTAAACTCGATTCAAGTAATCATTAGTATTTACTCCCATAGCAGTAACATAGTTCGTTCCTTCTAATGATATATTAGAATGCAACAACCAAATTGCTTTTACATAGAGGGTAATATCAGCTTTAGAACCAGAATTATTATTTTTGGTTAAAAAGAAAAGGCTAAGATTAGTTAACAGTTCGGCAGTCCCTACGAATCTGGCCATTACTCTGAGTTGGTGATCCCAAGCTTCCCATTTTCAACATTGAATGCTTGAAGTCCTCAAAGAAAGCTAACGGGTTCTTCACATAGGTTTCCACAATCTGTCGTGTCTGACCATTTCCATTCACAAGAGTCTGGTCTGATGGGAGCAATCCCTCCCCAGATAGAAGATTAACGAAGTATTGGTTATCAAAGGTAGCAGGTGTAGCCAAGTCAAGATGTGCAACTATGTTGCCATTATCTGCTCCTGAGCACAACTGTTGCAATGATGCGATGAAATCAATGTTCTCTGAGTCGCTACTACTCTGCAAACGAGAGCTAAATGTTGTGCAGCGGGCTTTCCCTATTGTGTGTGCACCTGAAAAGTGGAATGGGGAAAAGAATGGTAATCTTATTTGTTTTTCAATCATTGGCAGAGAAGAATTGTTATAGCACATGAATAACATATTGTGAGATGATTAACCTGAAAGAGCAACCATGTCTTTAAGTGTAAGGCCTACATTCTCAAACTTAGCTACTAGCACATCAACAGTGGAGTTTGGTCCTGGGATGTTATTATTTGCTGCATCCCTGCTACCAGTAATGCCATCTTTCCTTCCCAGTTGCACCTCCCAAATTGGACCTCCTGACTGTAACATAGTAGTTCAAATTCAACATGTTTCATGATAGTCACAAATTGAATAATTGAGCAACAAAATTTTTTTTGCTACAAGTGTAATGATAAACTTTACCTTTTTTTGTACCTATAAGATAAAAGATTAATTTAACCCAAAATAAAAAGAAATGGGAAAGAAAGGAATGAGGTTGGGACAAGAAGGCATGCAGCAATGACAAACCAGAAGAACTGAATCTCTGGCAGCAGTTGCCAGTATGTCAGCACAAGAGACAGTCTGTGGACAAATTAGTTCCAGCTCGGATTTGATTTTGTCGATAACTTCAAATCCTCTGAGTGAATTCAAATTTGGACCTGCAGTTTTCTCACCAACAAAGTCCTGTGTGTCATCCAGCAAGACTGAAGCATCACAACCCTGAAATGTCCACAAAATATTACATGGTTAATGAATGGGGTTTATAGAACTTTCAAAACATAATGTGTGGAGGGAAAAATGTCTTGCATTGACAAAGCAATCATGGAAATGTAGCCTAAGCAGTGAGGCTGCCATTCTTGAGTCTTCAGCCACTGCCTGCTCCACCCAATAGAAGATGACAGCCTCAGCCTCTGGGCAAGTGTATCGGTATATGCCACTCCCTAATGGACAACCAGGGGCATCACCATAGGCATCATTCAGGGTGGTTGCAAAGGCTGGAGTGAGCTTGAGAATCACTAGGCACAATAGTACTAATTGCATGGCTATACTTTAGTAATGGTAATTATTGCAAGTGTTACTATATTCTGAATAGCAAGGAAGGTTTATTGGATTGGAATGCTTAACAATGCTCTTCTATATATAGTAACTTACTAGCAGCGAGTGTTGTGTGATTAAAAGGAAGGTGCTACTGAGAGTTGTTAAAAGACACAGTCAAGCAAGCATAAGAAGTGGTTAGTAGAGTCAGTATTGTATCAACGTAATCAAAACCAAAGCAAAGAATGAATCCCTTGGACAAAATCTATCAACTGCTTCCGAAATCCCTTAACCTGGTCAAAAGGAAGCATTGAGTGTTCGTGTGCTGATAGAGACAAAGCAATTGTTGAAGCTGATGTGGCACAAGTAGTTGCATATCTGCAGAAAAGGGACCCCAAGATCGCAGAAGATTGTGCTAATGACGCATTTATTGAGGCCACCTCTTGCTAGAACATCACTCCAGGATATCAAATCAACACTCACTAATGACAACAAGGCCATGCTTGATTAATATGATATGATATTGAACACATCATAAGTATAGGTTGTATGTTGTTTGTCTAATGTTCAATGAAAATGCTATTAAATTGAGCGGCACATAGGAAGGTTAGATTCTGCACTCTTATTAGTCTAGTGTGTGATGGAAACACTTCACAATTCTCATTGCCTTTCTCCCCTGCATGAGTATGTGGCATGTGATGTTTTTTACTGCAATGACTATTTGCTTATCATAGTATTAAAACGGGTGAGGATTGTGTTTAACTATATCAACTATATAATGTTATTATAATTTTAATTTGACGAGGAATTTCATCAATCAACCCTCACCATTTAACTTATAAAACCGGCTTAATAAAATTGAGTATTAAACTCACTGTTATCAAATCTTAAGTTCACCTGAGATTTCATCACATAATTTTCATATTTTATTGTTTTTCTTACATGTTGAATATAAGGGGAAGTTTGAAACCGTAAGAATTAAAACAAAGTACGAGTAAAACGCATTGATTTTTATTTTTGTTTGCCGAACCTGTTAGAAATGATAAGGTTGGGTGAAAAAATAAGGCAACATAATTTATGACAAGTTCGTCCCTTTCTTTCTAACGTTCAACATTCATTTAGGGTGGTGTGACCTCATTCAGTTTAAAGATGTTTGGTTCAATTTCCATGTAGGGGGACCCTTTGGATACCTTGGCCAGGGGAAACCCTTGGTTTGGAACCTCAACAACCTTTCCTATTTTGTCGTCTTGTTTTCTCCACCACAAGAAGTGAACACCCTGTTATAAATTTGGTTGGCTCTGAAAGCCAGACTGAATGTGAAGTCAAGAAAAAGGTTTACCAACTGCACTATAATATTGAATGATTCCAATTAAACAATGGTTTTGAGATTAAAATGTTCTGCATACTCATAAAGAATTCTTGGAAGTCTCTTACTAGATTTAGGACCACTACTGATTGAGAAAATGTTTGTGCAAGTTGGGAGTTAAAAGCAATTGAAAATTGTTAATGGAAATAGAGGGTGTTATTAAACTATAATTCTGTGCTTGTTATTAGCAACAAGACAAAAGTGGATAACTCTGACTCCTTAAATTGAAGCTTTGCCAATTATGCTTGGTGTTAGTTAGTGTGCGTTTGTGCAAGGATGATGACTCTGCCTTGTGACCCTTTAAAAGAACAAGAAAGTTTTAATACATGTAATCATCAAGATCTTGTCTTTAATGAAGGAAATCTCAGTAATGTCCCTTGCCCCCTCTTCCTATAATTCCCAAGGGAAAGGTTTATTGAATTGAAGCCAACATCATCTAGAAAGATCTCTAATTTGTCATCTACAGCCTACAGAAGAGTGTGAACACAACAGAAGAAGAAGCTGTGGAACTGTTGGCACTAAAAGCTAGCTGAAAACAAGATATCCGTGATACAAGGAAGGATTTATCCTTATAATCGAAGTGTAGACGCAATTGCAATAGCACTGGTAGCCCATGGTTACAAAAAGCAAACAACACACCTGTGAACAATTATTTTATATATGAAAAGACTCACAAATGCATTTAATTTTACTGGTTTCTTGTGTCAGTTTTCTTTCAGAGAGACAATCATGTTTAAAATACTATTTAGCATTAAATGTTTGCTCTTGACAATTTTTTGAGAAAAGATTCAAATTTTAATCTGTCATGTTGAAAATGACCAATCACTTTCATGTGATACTCACAAGTACACATAAACGAAGAGAAATACACCCAATTTAAAGGGTCCAACAAGTTTTTTATTTTTTTTTAATCTTTTTCAATTGGTGGCAAAAAAAACAATTTTTTAACTCACCGAGGACCAACCTAACTTTAAATAGCAGCCAAGAAAGAAGGTAGGCCATTCATTCCCCTACCCGAGAAAATGAGGAGGAGCTCACTCTCTGTCTCCCTTTTTCTACTCCATATTCTTCTTCTATCCTGTTTTCTTCTCACACCAACTCAATCCTCTGATGGGGATGGTGATGATGATGGTGATTTGGTAGATCAAATATGCAGAAAAACTCCCTTTTATGACCTTTGCAGCTCCATCTTACACTCAAATCCTCTGGCCCCTAAAAGTGATCCAAAGGGTATGGCCCTCATAATGGTCAATGACATTCTGGCAAATGCTACTGACACACTGAGTTACATTGAAGAGTTGATCAAGCAAACCTCAGATGAACAATTGGAGCAACAACTGGCTTTCTGTGCTGAGTCATACATCCCAGTTGTGAAGTACATTCTCCCACAAGCAGCTGATGCCATAAGCCAAGGTCGATTTGGGTTTGCCAGTTACTGTATAGTTGATGCTCAGAAGGAAGTAAATGCTTGCGACAAAAAATTTTCTGGCTCATCTCAGGCACCCTTAAGTGATAGAAATGACATTATGCAGAAGCTCGTGGATGTGGCTGCAGCCATAGTTAAACTACTATTAAATGGCTGATATATTTTTCTCTCCCCCTTTCCAGCCTCATTTCTTGTAGCATTTAGTAATAATTACTAGAGCTCTTATTCTTATTCCATAAATAAATGCTTTAGCTGTTTGATTTTGTACAAATAGTTGTATGATATAGTTCTGTGTACTCTAAAGATGCTCTTTATAAATCATACTTTTTTTACAACCTAGCTGGTCTCACTTTTATCGCCTGGTTCCCCCTTAAATCATGATTGAGTTAAATTCAAGCGAGTGGTTACTACTTAATCAAATTGGGTTAAATTAGACAACCTACGGCACCTAGGACTGGGAATGTGCTTGTCTTAGATTTGACCATAGACCATGTAGTGTTAGTAGTAGTACTAGTAGTAGTGTTGGTTTTCTTCAGTGCTAGGTAGCCTTTTATGAATTATCATGGTGTTGGTACATACCATTTGATAGGAAATTGAACAAGGACCAGCAAATATTATTGAATTGTTTCACTCATCCAAACCCTCTTTCATTATGGAATGGAAACTGCAGGTGTCCATTTCCTTTGTGATGGAGATTGTTTTGTCAACTTTTTCTTAATTTTCTTTGTCGGGTGAAGATTGAGAGAAGCAGTCACATGTGAAATCACATGCCTAGTTACTCTTCAACATGCAGAATAGTCGGTAGAGTCCAAACTGGCATAATGGCATGAATCTCAGCCCAAGCTTGCAAGAGCCACACCTGTCTTGAAGTGCAAATTTATGCATTGTTTTCTCATGGCTGGAAAGAGATGGAGTGAGACAAACTGAAATGGATTGACATGCACAATAATGTATTTCTGATGAAATGAAAATTTTATTATATACTTTTATGTCACAGTATTATCTAAGTAATATTAGTAGAGTAATTTAATTTAGTTTTATTGTAATTTACTCGTCCTTGTCTAAATACAACAAATGTCACACACCTTACTGTTTTTGTTTGAAAATTGAGATAGTTCTCTCTTTCAAAAGGAAAGTCCCTTTCTTTGGTTATGTGTCCGAATATTTTAAAAATTCTAATCCATGAGGGATGGGTAAACTAGGGTTTGTCTGTTTCACTCTGTTTTAAAATAGTTCTGCATTACTCGATTCAATTAAGATTTGAAAATTGTTTTCAAAATAAGGCTTATAAAAATTAAAAATAAAATAAAAATTGAGAGCTGTTTTCAAGTGTTCTATCAAATGTTTAAAAGACAAATTTCTAGGACAAAGAAATATAGTTATACGACAAACACTTCAAATATGTTACACTAGAAAAAAAAAGTATTTTAAAATGTAAACAAGCCTTAATAGTTAAAACTTTTCAGAACTTTTCTTAGTAGTTATATATATAAAAAACGTTCTAAATTAGTTGCATTACAGATTTTTTTTTTCACTTGGATAAGATGATTAAGTTTGTAAAGTAAGTTGATTATGTTTTGCAAGAAAGTAATAATTTGTTAGTTGGTAAATAATTAGACAAGATTCTAATAAGTTGCATCTTTTTGTTTTTTCTCTCACCACTTTCTTGCCAACTTTCTTTACCCAACATCATGTTATTCAATATGATATCAGACTTTACAGCCAGTATTTTGGCGAGTAAAAAGAGTATAAAATATAGGGGATTAAATTTTTACGCTCAAAGTAAAGCAAATTCAGTGTTGTTTCTGAATCTTCATATTTATTTTTACCTCAGTGTTTGGGTTTTTTGCAGCCAGCTTTCTTCCAAATTCTGATCGTTGTTGGTTAATTTGGTTAGTCAGTTAGCTGAAAATCTGCTTAGGTGACATATGAAAGGATTGGAAAAGGATAAAAAGACACGGTGACATAAAAATAATTAGGTGATTACATATGGCGTGAAGCTTCAAACCAAAATCTCCTCCAACTCTGAATTTGAACCAGTGCATGCAACAAGCAGTTGCTGAGGAGGTAACATTCAGCAACACCACTAAGCAACTGATACTTTACATACAGGGGATTCATTGCCCATCTCATTCAGGCTCATGATAGTTGTGAAATACATTTTCAAAGACAAGAAAGAAAAAATCTTTGGTGAGGAGCACATGGGTACAATACCATATGATAATGACATACTTGGTGTCACTGTATTGCCATTAATTAACCTGCATCTCTTCTCAATTTTTTTGTAGTCAAGTCTAAACCAGTGAACTGCTGTACAATTCTGCAAGGAACAATCAAGTAACATGATTATATTACAAGGTTGCCACGCTGGTGTTGCATTGTTTGTGAATGAGGTAGAGAAAGAAAACCAGAGTGAATCTCAACTTACTTGTGGTACTGAAAACCAGGTGCATTTGGGTCACTTGAAGATGGATTGAGTTGGTGTTGAACATCAATAAGACCACCCTCTGTTACTCCTGCGGGTACCGGAGATCCCTGGAAAGTTGCAACTGAACTTTTTCCAGATGACATGCCTGAAAAGAGAACATATGAAAAATTAAGAGAGTGCATTGTTCTCAGGAATTTGATTCTCATCTTGCATAGTACTTAATTCCATACCAAAAAATTTGATCATTGATTCATAATATAAAGGGAACTTGTAGACCATAAATAAAACACAATTGCAGCATTCTCAAATGAATATGAAACAGAAATTAGAGCCCTCTCAACATTTCAATGGCTGTATGATACCAAAGTTTATACTAAAAAATATAGTTCCTACTGCAAATAGTTTTACAAACTACAAGCTCTTTGCACAGTACTCTGAACACACATCTGAGAGGAAATGAGGAGCCAATGCATCTAGGGAGTGGAAGATGATTCTCTCGGTTGCTAGTTGGAGAAAAATAAATTATTTACTTAGGTCCACATGACTCGATTGAACCTCTCAAGGAGTCCAATGTAAAGGGAAAATATTTAGTCTGATTTTATACAGTGGCACCACAAGTGAAAAAGAACAGTACATAATACGAAAAATGAATGAAGCCAACAGTCTTGAAAACTTTGATTAAAATGTCTCAGTAGAATTATTTGGGACCATCACTTCAAACAATAAATACTGAATCAAAACCAAATGTGTGAATATACATGGTGGTCTTTCCTATTAATAGTATAATTAGCCCATAGCTTGACATTCCAACAAATATTACAATTATCTCCACTCTATAAATACTGACACAGAATTCCATTGATCATGTAAGTTTTTGAAAAACGAATTCGACAAACATAATACTGAAGTAATAATCACGAAATTTGAAAATGGAACCAGGAGGTAGAGTTGGCAATGAACAGGCAGAATACAAAGGTATCAGAACAAGGTAAAAAACAATACTCAATTCAACAGTTAGCAACTTTTATCGTTAATAATTTTCTAATTGATAACTCAAAGTTAAACTTAAAGCCCTATCATGTTATAGTGCAGAAGAGTAGGAAAAAAAATGTCATATCACAACTTTGTTTACAACTATTACCTTGGAGGAACATCACAATACAGAAGATAACAGTGAAAACCATAGCAAACATGCTGCTACTGGAAGATGATGATGACGATGATGATGCCTTCGCAGCCTTCATCTTCTTCAAGGCTTTCATTCGCTCAACCCTCGCGCGCTTTAACATGGCAAGTTCAGTGATCTCCCTGATTAGCTTATGGTCAGCTGCATCCAATGATGGAGCCCGTGGAGGTCTTGGAGGTTTGGGAGCCTTCTTATTACTGGACTTTTTACGTTTCTCCTTTTCTGGGGTATTATTCTCCACATATTCTACTGAGTACAAATTGTTTGTCACTTTCACCATGTCCATTGAAACTACAGTTAACTTTGACTCATTGCAGCATCCACTATACCTATCCTCACCTTTTATACAAGAAATCTTAGTAAACAAAATCTTTCCTTGTTTTGTCTTACCTGGAGTAGACACATTCTTCGACTCATCTTCAATCACTGCCAACCCACTTTCAAGATCAATTTCAACATCCTCATCCTTGGCACTCTTATGATCCATCAAACCCAAAATCACCAAAACTAATCCAACTTTTCTCCCTTCTTGTTACCCTACCCTACAAAATCAGGACAGCCCCAAAATGTCCTCTGAACTGTTTCCCCTGACTAAACCCTTTAACTCAATCCACTACCAAAAAAAAAAAAACACCTCCTCAACATAAAAGGGATGAAAAAGAAAAAGTAAACCCAGGAATGGAGTAACCCTGCATCATAACCAGAAACATAATTCAGTCAGTTTTTCATTAGTAACGTACAAAATGAAGAAATACAGATAACCGTCGACTTACGAACGAAAAATGGAGAAAGACAGAGTTAAAGTTTTGAAAGTAGATTAAGGCAAGCTTTGTGGAAAAGTGAATACCTTGCTTGAGGGAAAGAGAAGGAAGGCGAGATCCAACGAGGGACAAAAAGCAAGAGAAACGGAATTCACAACATTACAAAGAAAATACCCACTCACTGAAATTTAAAGACTTGAATTAAAATTTCAAATCTTTCTCTCTCTTTTCATTGCCAGAGCCAATTCCATGTGATGTCTTAAAAAAAACGGCACATTTATAGTAAAGAGCGAAAATACTAGGAAGGAAAGACCGAAGCAGAATGGCGCCGACAGTTGTCAACTCTGTATTTCACCCTCTTCCTCTCATTTTTCCTTTCTTGTTTTCATTATTATCTAATCACTTTTCTAAATCTTTTTCCAACGGATTTCGCTTTCGTCAAACTTTGTCTCAAAAACACGGTTTTAAAATAACTGTGTACTGTGTAACTTTGATGACTGAGTTAATATGATAGAGGTAAAATTTTGTTTTTTTATTTTATTTTATTTTATTTTGTTCAATATTTTAGATTATTTAAAGAATAAATATTTACAATTTTTTCATGAAAGTTTTCGTCTTTTATCTTGTTTTGCGTTTTTAACTTCGAAATAATTAGTGTCAGTGTCATCATTCTGATGACGACACGCGTATAAAAATAGAACGAAAGAAAAATATTAGAAAATAGGAATCTAATGAGTGAATAAAAAAAAAGGCGTAATTAAAAGAAAATAGATTAAGAAAAATATGATTATTGGAGTACTTTACATTTTTCTTCTTCAATTCAGACACAGTTGTACTCGTTTTATTCATACTTCTTCACCGACACTTCTTTTACGCTATTTATTTATTGACACTCTTTTTTACATATAGAAATTCTAAAAAAGATTAAATTTATGAACTGCACTTACATTTGGTGTAGAAAAAGTACTCACAATAATAAACCTTCTGTATATGATTATGCGTTTAATTTTAAAATGGAAAGGTTTTCGTTTTAAAGAAATATTCAATTTATTATTTTTAAGTTTTCTTAATTTAATTTAGAGTTGTATTTAAGGTAATTAATATCAAAAGTGTTTAAGGTGATAGACTTAAATTTTTCTGTAAAAAACACTCAGAAAATAAACCTTCTATATTTTATATATTCAGTTAACTTTGAAATGGGAAGGTTTTCATTTAAATAAAAATAAATTTATGATTTTTTAAATTTCATGATTTAATTAGAGTTGTATTTAAGGTAATAATTGAAATTTTGATTAAATAATGTCACCTAAATATTATGTAGAAAAAGAAATTACAGTAATAAAGTAAAGTAAATTATAATAATTAGTGGATATAACATTAAAATGATTGTATATCAACTTTTTTATAATTTTTTTTGAAATATTATTTTATTTTACTTTATTTTTAAATATATATTTTTCTCTTTTTTATATTTTATTATTTATTAAATATTTAAATTATAATAATTTTTTTCTTTGAATTATAACAGTTTTATTTTTTTTCTCTCATTATAAATAAATAATTACAAAGGAAATCCTCATATTATATATATATATATATATATATATATATATATATATATATATATATATATATATATATATATATATATATATTACACACATGTTAAATAGTCTAGTACCTGCGTATCTATATTTTTTATAATTAATTTTTAAATATTTTATTTTATTTTATCTTTTCATTCTTTAGATATATTCATGATTTTTTTATTTTTCATATTTTTATTACTTTTTAAATATATAAATCAAAATAATTTTTTAAAATTATAATATTTCATTTTTCTCTCTTAAACCATAAAAAAATACAAAACAAATCCCCTTCGTATATAATTATAAATAGTTATGATTTACATTATTTAATAATATAATTAATATCATTAAAATTTTGAGTTATTGCATCTGATATCTATTTATTTCATAATTAAAGTGACATTGATAATTTGGATAAAGGATTAAATAATGGAGTTATTATAGTGAAATAGTAAATAAATATTAGTAAATAGGAATAAAATAAATATCATAATTAGACGTGAAAACGGTGGTCTGTCAATTTAATCTAACCTATTGTTCAAGTAAATAAATTTTAGGTTGATCTAATTAAATTTTTATAAAATAATATTAATATATCCATATAAAATCAATTAATTAAAAAAATATTTAAATTTAAATTAAAAATATATTTTAAAAAGTTAAATTTAATTAATAAAATTAGTTTTTATTTAAGATAAAATAATTTAATATATATATATATATATTATAAAAAATAATATCCATTAAATTTTAGAATAAAAATTAAAAATGTACTTATTATTATTATTATTAATTATTTTTAATAATTTATTAATTTCAAATAATAATTAATTTAAATTATTATTAAAAAAGTATTATAATATTTATTCTTAAAATAATTATAATATATATATATATATATATTAATACAAAATATTATTTTTATATAAAAAAAATCGATCCAATTAATTTAAGTAAATCCATATATTTCATAATCTAAATATATCATATTAAAACAGTTACTATTTAACAAAGTGTACAATTTTTTAATTTGTTTTTACCTGGATAAATAGGAACTTTCGCATTGAGAATCGAGTTACACATTCCTGACCAAAATGTATGAGTTTGGTTTCGAATTCATAAAAAAGTAATTTTGTACAGTGAGGTGGTACTAAAAATTCTCTTTAGTAAAAGAAATATCTGACAATGGTGAAATTTATCAGTTTAACGGCGCTTTAAATAATGATGGTTTAAAATTATAATAACGTGTAGTCAATTATTGCCTCCTATATTTTTTATTTGTGAAAAAGTTGGATTCTGAACCACGAAAAGAGGGTAGGAGCAGTGCACCAAAATAAGTGAGAGATTATAATTCACATTATTAAATTAAAAAAATGAATAATTTAAACAATTAGAGGCATTAATTTGCATTTTTCTAAATTATTTTTCTTTAAAAATATAAAATATAAACTTATTACGTGACTTCATATTTAACTAACTTATAAATAATTTGTTCTAATATAAGATCTTTAAAATATGAAAGAATAATTTCTTTAAAATTTTGTAAAAAAAATCTAATCAAAATTAATTTAGAGTAACATAAATACGATGTACCATTTTAAAGTTATATTTTATATTTTTTTAATGTAAGATATATTTCACGTGTTTAATTTTTTTTTTACTTATTTCACCTAATAATTTAAAATTTAAAGTATTTATTTTAATTATTTCTCAATAAAAATATTTATTAAAATACTTAAATAAATTATAAATTATTTGAAATATTTTTTCATTATAAAATTAGTAAGTCGCATGGTAATTTAAAATATTTTATTTAAAATTTTTGTTAAATAACTTATACAAGTAAATACATAAATAAATAAATAAATAAATTCTTTAAAATATATAAAAAAAACATTAAAACAAAATTAATTATAAATTACTTAAATATGATATCCCATAATAAATTAATATTTAACATTTTTTAATGTAAGAATTACTTCAAAAAATATATAATATAACTTTTATTTTATTAGATTGCACGTACTTAAATAATTAATAATTAATTTTTTACCAATACAAATTTTTTTAAGAAATTTTAAAATATTTATATTATCTTTCCTTTATTTCTTTTTATTTATTATTTTTGTATGGGAAAATCAATTGAAAACCACATTTTTTAAATAATTTATTATAATATTTAAGATTTTTTTAATAAAAAAATATTTAAAATATTATTTACCAATTTTAATAAATAATTTTCATTAGAAAATTATATATATATATATATATATATATTAAAAAATTTATTTAAAGTTTATATGATATAATAAATTTTTAACAAAAAATTGCTTAAACATATATTTTCCATTGATGTTTCAAAACAACTTTTACACTGAATTTGTTCTCCGTCATGTGTCGCCTCGAATACTAATTCCAATTTTATTTTATTTTTTTCAGAAAGTCTATTCTTCTCTAATGTGTTCTCTCTTTTTTTTCCCTTAATTGTTTATTTTTTCTTAAATATTTCAAAATTTTATATAATAAGTTAAACATATATTATTGAGTTTCAAACCTCTATTATTTCTTTCAAGCATCATCCTTAAATTTCTCACCAAAATAATGAAGAATGAGATTAGACCTTTCTTATATTAATCTTAATAAAGTTATATCTGTTTGCCTTTTTACTTTTATATTATTTTCTTGTGTTTTTGTTATTTAATTTTTTTTAGTAATACCTTATTCTTTTCATTTTATAATTGTCTAACTTATTTTTAATAATACACTAATTTTGTTTACTATTTAATTTATTTTCAGTTATATACTAATCTTTTTAATTTTATATTTTTATTATTGAATTTTTCTTTAATAATATATTAATTATTTAGTTTATTTTTATTATACACTAATATTACTCTTTATATATAATTTATTTTCAATAATATGTTGATTATTTATATTTTTTATAGTTTTATTAATGAATTTACTTTTAATGATATTTTTTAAAAACTTTTATATTTTATTATTTAGTTTCTTCATTTGTTTGTAATCACATGAACATTACATTGACTAACAAAAGAAAGCTAACCCTATTTGAATATTTTGATTAAATAACATTAATTAGTTAAAAACATTCATCAATTGTTATTGTTTAGCTT